TTGAACTTGCCCAAATGACCTTGGCCATGGGTCAGGGTCATGACACACCCTCAGGTCATGAATAATCTTTGTGTGAAGTAGTAGATTCTAATGTTCCTCCGTAAGAAATATATGGACCAGACATGTTTGCACAGACAGACAAACAGACATGAACAAGGTGATTCCTACATATTCCCCCAAACTTTGTTTGCAGGGGGATACTAATAGTGTCGAATAACTACAGTTTTTTTTAGTATTAATAACATTGATCTTTTAAACTAGACTTTTCACTATCCTCAAGTATCTACCTTATAATTCTCTACATGACAAATTTAAAATAGAAGCATTGTGAGTGAACTCAGAAAACAAAACTTGTTCATCATAGTCATGGACTTAGTTTGTTTGCTTTAAACTCCTGGCCAGGAGTATTATTTGGATTTTCAATGAATCATTGCATTTTCACTATATGATCAATAAAGCCCTGAATCACTTACCCTGGGCCATAAATTCCATAATTTTAGTAGAAGACTCAATGCTCATTACAACCATGCTAACAGTTTGCTTGATGTCCAGATTTAAAGATTAATGCATTAATTTTGATGGTTTTATACAGCTCCATCCCCTAGGCCCCAGAGGAAGCAGGGACCATGAAATTTGCTATTTTTGTTCCCATTCACCCACATATGCTGCATTTATTTATGCCAAAATTGGTCAATATGAGTTCAACGGTTTTAGAGAAACTGAAAATGTTCAAATTTTACAAGACAATGCAAAGTGAATGATGATGGACAAAAACAGATAGCAATAAGTCATGAATGACTCAGGTTACTTTTAAATTAGTTTTAAAAAACATTTTTTTGTGATTATGTCAGCTCAGGTGAGCTAATACAAAATATTGCTTATCACTGATATAAATGACAACAGTTAAATTTTAGACATAACCATGTGTCTGACAATTCTATATAATAATAAAACTTACCCTCAGCATAAATCTTTCAAAGTTTGGCATGGACCTATTTGTTTTTGTGTCTGTTCGAAGTATATACATGTACTTCTTGTTCTTGAGGTAAAAAAAAAAATATATGTTAAAAAAAAACTGCATTTCAGACTTGTAAAGCAAAACAAACAAGATGAAAAATTACTTATTTTACTGATAACATTTAACATTTTCTTCTCTTGATTGAAATGTATAATGCACATCATTACCATGATTATATGATATGTAATTGCAAGTCTAAAATCAATGGGATCAGAAAATCTGCCGTGATTTCTTTTTTAAGAGTATTACCATAATGCTAGTAAAACTATCAGAATCTGTTTTGAAGTCCAGTCATGGCATTTAGGTGTTTACATAGGAGATACATATGAGCTTCAGCTACCACTCTGGAGTGTACATTTAAAATCACATAAAAAATCACAATCTCAAAATATATTATTAATATTCATAAGGATGAAAAAGGCAAAGACATCTGAAAAATAAGTGTTACACCCTAATATTGCCCTAAAAGATATTAATTTTCTCTACATGCTCTATGAAGAAATACATGGGGTACCATGTAAGTACCATTAATTAATATAGAAAATATACAGCCTTCTCAAACACAGCTAGCTTTTCACACACATGTAAAACAATTTTTATTAACATACATGTAACGTAGCTGATAATACTCATACTTGTCATTAACATTCATGTAATGTGTGGTTTATATTACATGTAAACCATGCATATATTAACGTATGTGTAACGTGTGGTTGATATTAAATGTAAACCATGTGTGTGAAATATGTGTAATGTATGGTTTATAATACACATATAAACAATGCGTTTATTAACGTATGTGTAACGTATGGTTGACAGTACATATTTAAACCACGTGTTCATTAACGTACGTGTAATGTGTGGTTGACAATACACATGTACACCATGAGTTTATAAACGTACGTGTAACGTGTGGTAGCAAATACCATATGTTACACGTATGTGAAACGTACGTAACACATACGTGTATTCCAACCGCATGTTTCACGTACGTTATGTGAAACATGTTGTCACACGCATGTTATCCATACGTTGTACCACGTACGTGAAACGTGCGGTTGGAATTTACATATGTGTTACGTATGTTTCACATACGTGTAACATATGGTATGTGCTACCATACATTACACGTACGTGGCACAATTAGCTGTGTGCGATCGCATCCAACAGACCCCTTTTCCCATGACCTTGTAATCCATGTGTTACCATTTGTTAGTTAATTGCAAGAGAGCTAAAAAAATAAAGCTTTTTCAAAAAGCTTTGCCGTCTTTAGCAACGACCTTAATCTGTAAACTGACATACACTTATCAGACCGTATTCTTTTCAGTATTGTAGTTCTTGGCTTAATTTGTACATCTTCAACAGCTTATCAACTTCTTACAGACATTAGCCCTACCATATAAGCGATGATTGATTGGTTGATTGTATGTTGTTTTACGTCCCATTGGAGAATTTTTCACTCATATAGAGACGTCACCATATACCGGTAAAGGGCTTCAAATTTTGACCTTTACTCGGCACGCAGGGCCATTGAGCAGTGAGAGTTCTTTATCATGCCAACGCCTACCGTGACGGTAGCGGGTCCTTCGGATGAGACCTTAAAACCGATACTTTCTTACTCACCCTTTCTCTCTTTAATTATTTCATTTTTGGGGAGTATAACATTGTTGAACCTACAGGTTGTTTTGGTAAAGAACATACGAGTATGTAGAAATGCAGACTCTGTACATGTCATGGGTCAACATCTCAAGTTTGCCAAAGATCTAAAATTCACTTTCCCAGCCAATAAAAACTCAGATATGTGAAAGATAATATAGGCATGTAGCCAATTCGCTGATTCCCAGCTAATAAGAGAAAGTGAGAACTGAAAAATGATACCAGACATGTAAGCAATATCAGATACTGTTATCTTAGTGTACTGATATACCTTATTTATTCGTTAAATGCTGATGAATATAAATGTATTTTCCCACCGAAGTATTTGCTTTTCATGGGTATCAAATTCTGCCTTTTCACTTGTTCAACTATTTCATGGTCACACACATTTTTAAAGTTAATTTTTACGTTTTCCATTTTTTGATAAATCATGTCATCTTGCTATATCAGTCTTTTGCACAGATAATATGCCAAGTGTTATTTGTTCAAACACATACCTTGCAATTTTCAGTCGATCAAGGGGCCCATGGACCACAACCCTAACCTGAATCACCCTTCCTTTCCTGACACATAGATGTGTACAATACATAAAGATAAATGAAGCCTGTAAATGGTCATTTCAAAGTCAAAATTCATAATTTCAACACAGAATATTGAAGTTTTTTGCCAACTTAACAAATTGTATCCTTCTTACTATTTGTTCTGTTGTTTCAAGTCTTTGAACAACCCAGTCCCTTATATAAGGCTATCCTTTGAGGAGACTAGAATCTACACTATTGTGGAATGTTTACATATTAATTAGACTAAATATTAATTATGGTCTTCTCTCTTGATAAGTTAACTTTAAAGGATCCAATCTTTGACACCAACCTTGCCCAGTGGCCATTTTAACAAATATGTACAACATAGATGCCTTATTTTTTTCTATTTGACTTAGTATATGCCCTGTTTTTCTTTAAAAAAACAAAAAACTGAGAACAATTTTTGGCCCCGCTTTCACTGAAAGTGGGGGATCTTAATTTGAGTCTGTCCATCTGTCTGTTTGTCTGTCATTCTGTAACACTTTTGTTTTTGGATGATATCTTAAAAATACTGTTTGTAATGGGCTTTGACAGTGATATTTTATATCACAACTTAATTGGCCTAAAGAATACCCCTATTACTTGTGAGGTCAAAAAGTCAAGCTCAAAAATTCATACATTCTGACTGTGTGCAATACTTAATTTCATTTCCATACGATATCTTAAAAAGCCTTTGAGCTTTTGCTATGAAATTTTATAACACAACTACATGTACTTTTGTCCTGAAGATTTTGAGGTCAAAAATCAAGTTCATAAACTTTTACATTGCAAATACAGTTTCCAGATGAAATTTTTAGTTTTCTTTGAGCTTTTCTCAATGAAATTTAAAAGCACAACTCCCTATGGCCTAAAAAAGAGTACTATTCATTTTGAGGTCAAAAGATCAAAGATCAAGGTCAGAAATTCATACATTCTGTCTTTCTCCCTATGGCCTAAAGAAGACTCCTTTTGATTCTAGGTTATTAGGTCAATGTCAGAAATTCATATCTTGGACACACAAAAATTATATAATAACCCCCAATGAATTTAAGACTTTTTTTTATTTTTAAGTCAAAAGGTCAAGGTCAAAAATTCATATCTTGCATAAAATGGATTCGTGATGATAACTCTAGTTCTTTTTGGGGTTTTATAATGACATTTCATACCTTTTTAAGTCAATATAACTTTAAAAAGACTCCTATTGATATTGAGGTCGAAAGGTCAAAGACCAAGGTCAGAAATTCATATACTGCATACATTTAAGATGATAAATTGAGTTCTCTTTAAGCTTTTGCAATGAAACTTAAGGTCATGAATTTCTTTTACTACAAAAAAAGACCCTTATTGACTTTAATACCAAAAGCTGAAATGTAAAGGTTGACACTTTTAAAAGATTTTCCCGAAGTTTTTCCATGCAAAACTTTTATCCCTAATTCAGCCCTGGACCCACAGTATGAAGAAGCATGTAGTCTCAACTCAACAAGGAACCAGCTATCACATAAATTTTGTCTTTCCTGGCCCAGTGATTCTTGAGAAAGATTTTTAATTAAATACTTGACCAAAACCTATTTTTTGTATCACTTTATTATCTCCCCTTGAAATAGGGTGTGCACAAATCTGAATCCCCTTCAACCAATACCAGTAATTGACCTAATGATACAAGACATCAAAAATAAGACATACGAATGCCAGGCACAATTAGAAAAGCTGAATTGAGCCTTTGACTTAGCTGAGCTTAAAGCAAAAACAAAAATGATAAATATAGATAAATTTCAAAACACAATTTTATTCTTGTAACATATTTAATTTGATTAACATTTTAACAGATCTGATAATCTGATAATTGCAATAGTAAGTCAGAATGATGAGAATGATAATTCTTAAAACTCAGATGAACTTTGGATTGTTGATTAAAAAATTTTCAGCAAATTACTGCATTTTTCTAGCTTCTACAAACAAAAAAATTCAAGCTGTAAAAGTTTTTCATGAACAGTAAACAAATACTAGTGTAGACATCTGACTCAGCATATGGTTCAAATCAAATACTTGTTTGTTTATCATTCACATGTACTTGAAAAATGTGAAGCAAGATTAATGTACAGTAATGGATATGTCACATATACACCAAAAAATTACAAGTATCTTGTTTTGTTTGTTATACTTTGTCACCAATCAGGATTTCACTTCCTGGATTTGGACACCTTCATGTCAGGTGAGTGAAGGTATTCCAGGTTAATGACTGAAACAGAATAACGACAAGCAGATTTCCAGCCTTCCTATTGGATTCTTATGAATTCATTGCTTCTTCCTCATTGTTGATGGAAACCACTCCTCCTTGACCTACATTGATTTTGGAGGGGTCAAATGGTTGTCCCTTAAAAGGGGATCCCTCTGCATTCCATGCATCTTTCAGGAGATTCTGGACTTTCTAGAGAAGGAAAAAAAAAATTAAAATTGAATTCTGTATGATTACTTTTCACATGTTTTTATTTGTTTCTATTTCAATGCCTCTCTACGATTTTGAAAACTATGCTTAACATTCGAAGAACGACTTTTAAGGAATATCTTCATCTTTAAACTCATCAAAATATTATGAAATTTGAAATACTAAATATTACTAGTCACACAAAAGCAGAACCACTTTTTTTTTCCTTGTATCAAAAAATCTTGAATATTTTTTCTTGTAATTATAATTGTATTATAAATGAAACAAAAAAATGTTCAAAAATAAATTAAACCCTTTCAAAACAAAAGCTTTTAATCCAAAGTAAATTTTTTTCCATCAATTTGCATCACAATCAAAAGATTCCTCTATCCTCTTCCTAGTGAATACAGTCAAAATTAGAGGAACCCGATTTAAAATTATTGATAATTTGTTGATGACTTTTGTGACTTATTGAAGAATAATGGCTGTGGCATCTCTTTGATCTTTGCGATAACCATAGTGTAATTAAATCAATATCCAACTTCAATTATATAGGACAGTACCAATTCGCCCTTAGATGGCAAAAATATACAACCCTCATGTTAAAATTAATTAAACTATGGTGTTGAAACATTATTACATTCCTATTTATCCTGCACATCAATCTGTATACTTGCCATCCTAGGGGAGCTAACTCTTATAGAGTTTTATTACTTCAATAAAATCAGTACATGTATTTAACAAGAAATTTTTTTTTTTTAAATTGATTGACAATCAAATATTTACTATATAACTGTCACCTGACCATTCTGATTAGGTAGCACATACATTGATTAATCATAATTTTTTTGTCATTTATGTGATTAAACATCAAAAGATAAAAAGTACATTGTTGATGATAATTTTATCATTCTGTGCATTTGCATGTCACAATGGATAATGAAGTCATTGCACTAATCAAAGTCATTAATCTTGCTTATCCTATGATATTTTTTTTAATCTGTTCACAAACGAAGCAGTACAATATTCTAAATAAACAGATTACATTAAAACTAAACCACTGTTTCCTTTCATGTTTGCACAGTGTTCAACCAATCTTCCCTGCTTAGGTATTAAACACAATGCAAATATCCACTGAGAAATTTGTTTTTTTTAAATTTCTTAAATGTAGTGCATTAAAAATATCCTCCTCTTTGAAATCAATTCTTTTAATTGTAATAACTGGGCTAAGGAAAAAAGACAAATTTTGTTTAAATTACATATTTAATTCTAAAAATTAAAGGAAACAAATCAGGAAGAATTAGTCAAAAAAGAAATTCTGAGTAGTCAGTATATCAATTATTGATACGAACTTTAAATGAAAAATCAACAACACAACATCAAATGCAGACTATATTTGTCATAAAACAGTTTTTCAGCTTGCATCATTTTTACCTTTAGTAAATTACATGTAGATAAAGAGCTTATGTAAATAATTATGTAAATTGTTATCTGATTTCTCTGAAAGATTTTGATAAAATATTTTGGAAGACCTTCTTGGGAATAAATTTATTTTGAAAAAAAGATATACTTATTAGCAGACAAATCCACCACTTTCACAGTGATGAATTAAACGAGGTACTAGGAAAAAAATCAAATCTATCATAATTTATAAGTTTATATGCATTATTTTGAATTTAATTAATGAAATGACCTGTTCTTCTGAAGTGGGTTTCCCCATCCTTTTCTGTTGTTCATTGTACATCATCTCTGCTATTTTAGCTTGGGCTTCATCATCCAGATCTGTCATTGGTCGACTAGCATCTATCTTACGGACACTGATCTTCTCTTCTGTTGTAAGTGCTGACTCCCACCATCTCTCTTCTTTCTTTTCCAAGTTGATCTACACATGATCAAAATTAATATGTCTACAATATACTCTTAATCTTTATATTCTATCAAAAATATATTTATTTCATATATCAAGATTTTTTTCCTCATACTTATTTTCCTTGGTCCATGTACGTGTATATACATAATATAGTATGTATGTCATGTTTGTAATTGTTACCCGATATACCTTCACATTTAAGCAAAATGACTGCTTAGCATGTTTATGCATCTAATAATAATATAATAATAACTTCCTTGTGCTTCATTTCCTTGAGTAGTTGTCAATTGTAAAACAAAGTGAAATTTTGAAATTGTGCAACATTTTATCACATATGAGATACATATATATATATATATATATATATATATATATATATATATATATATATATATATATATATATATATGTAGTATTATGTAACAATTCATTCAACCAGGAAGTGAAATACATAAGCATTTAAAGAATTTTTCACCACTAACAAAGGATATATGTTTTCCTGTTGTCAGAAGAAAATATATATCTAATATACAAACAAATATTTGTGGACTTGCGTAACACATCTGCATCTTCGATAACTTCAAATGGTATATCTTATTTTGGGATATTACAGTACTGAAATCTTAAGATTTAAATAAAAACAGAGAGAGATTCCTTAACCTGTCACCAAGTTTTTGCCAAAAATTTTATTCTCTGAAAACCAGTGCATGAGGAAAATTCCAATTTTCTGTGCATGCAACAAACTATATAAATTCATAAGTGATATAGGTGAAATAATAAAAAATTATTTCAGTACAACTAGAAAAAAATTCTTTAACTTACAGTACAAGGAGAAGGGTAATATACATTGAAGTAACTTTAGCATGCATTATCAGATCAGAAACTTACATGAACATGCTCTTTTGGTACCAGAGTCCACATGGATTCCTCCTTGTTAATTTCCCAGGGGAGGTCATCATTCAGAACCTCGGTCCATGAACCACTGTCTGTCTTATGTGAAACTTTAATGTGTTTCTTTTCTATTTCCACTTTAACATCTTTTCCTTTCACAATATAATTTGGTATCTAAAATGAATGTACAGTGTATGATGCATTATGGAAGCTTGTGGAGCCAAGCTATTTAGAAAAACATATAGGTGCAAAGCAATTTTTCCTTTTAGATAGTAGTTAAAAAAAAAGTTAATGAAAATTCTAGGCCTAGTTAATTGAGATTGGAAAAATGGAGACATAGTCATCTGATTCAATATGACTGACTTATGAATGTTTTATTAAAATGTTGAACAGAAAATTTAAAGCAATCAAGGAGGGATAACTCCTTTTGCAAAAAAATTCCAGATAAACATTTGCTCACATTGACACGTAGATCGATATCTGTAATTGACTGAGACCATGAATAGTTGTCTCTGACAGCCCCATTGTAGCTTTCTGGATTAGCCTGGAACACTTTCTGCTTGCTAAAACACAAAATTTAATATATTGAATTATGAATAATTTCAGATAGAGGAGTAATGGTTGAATTCTAGATATAGGTGACTGTCAATGGCTAAAATTTTGGAAACTCAAAATTCTCTGTTTCTCAAAGTAATGTATCCTATCTGATGCACATGTTTTTCTGTCATTAATCAGAGAAATTTACTCCTGATATGTCAAACCTTGATCTCTCAACACTCTTGATTTCTATTGATCTGAAACTATTTCCAAAGTCCCATTGTGCACAGTCCTACATGTACATATTTCACCCTCAGTAATGGAAATTAGTGTTAATTGTTTGGACAAGTAATGATTAACAGACAATCCACCTATAAGCTTTGCATATCAATTATCATTTCTGATATGTAATTCGCTGTCTAAGAGTTGAATTGTGTTGATGATTGTTGGTCTGTTAACTGAATGTGTATTTACTATTTGTGTTTGCTTTATTTTGTAGAATCACATGACAATAATTAATTGAGTGGTTCTCTAATGGTTTTGGATAATTTCAAATATTTGTAAGCTTAATCAACTCAAATTTATAATGTACATCACTATTTAAATTTAAAAAATACATTTATTCACATATACATTTACACGAGTAAAACAGGCTAAGAGCAAAGAGCCAGGGAGGAGCAATTTTGATTTGTTCTTTATAAATCTTTATGTACAAGTTTGCACTTATGGGTATTCCGTGATCTAGACCTATGTAGATGTGCACAAAACAAATTTCATCATTAGCAAAGTGATAATGCAAAGATTTCTGGGGGAATTTCCTGCTACGCATACAAGTTTACTAAACCTTTCTATTAATAGTCAAAATGCCAATTTCTAAACTCTGTCTTTATCTCTTAAACTTGCATTTTATGCATCCTCTTTTTCAAGAGTGACCTATACTGATCTCTTAACAGATTTAGGACAAATCCTTACGCTGCAAGCTCTGGGTCAACTTCCTCTTCCTGTCTTTGAGATGGTGTAGATGTCTCTGAACACGATTCCTTTTCCCGGGTTGGCATGGTTGGGGCATTAGCCGGTTTTTGCTGCTTTGAATCCTTTCCTGTTGTTTCTTTCATTTCGGCAGGTGCTGTGTTTACAACCCCTTTATTTTGCACTACATGAGATTCTGTATTAGGAGGTGGGGAAGTACCATTTTCTGAAGTGATTTCTACAATTTTTGCAACTGGAGGGACTGCATTTTCTATTTCAAAGGGAAAAAAGTAAGAAAATTTCAAAGAATATATACAGTATTTACAATAATTCTTCTGCTGTTTGATAAGTCTGAGAATTTGGTAGAAGAGAGCCTGGAATTTTATGTTTTCTCCTACAACTCAAATTTCCCCCCTTGAGTATATAAAATGCGTATAAGCCTTAATCTGTCCATTATGTCAGACATTAGACAGTCCAAGGCACGTAAGCACCAAGGAAGGTCTAAACTTTGATTGTGCTCCCATCCCTGCCCCTCAGTGGCAATTTAGACCAATAAATGTAAGAATTAAATAATGTTTTGTAGTAAAATGATCTGAGATTTTAAAAGAAAAATTCCTGTACATTACTTCGTAAATTTTGTAAAATTTACATAGTAATATTTGCAAAACTAATTTTATGACAAGAAAGTATATCAGCATCATGAATATCAAGTTTTCAACCATAAAATCAACCCAATTAATCAAAAGGACAGCCAATTCAATGCTTATTAACAATCACACAAAAAATGAAAAAAAAAAATATGTTTTACCTTGCTGTGACTTCTTTTGCAGGATCTTTTCTCTTTCCTCATCATCCTTTCTTGCAAGATCATCATATTTCTTGTATGCCTAAAACAATATTCATGCTATGTAGGATATTTATCAAAATACATACTAGCTGAGACTTAAAGAGAGTCACTCCAAGTCTGAGGAAATAACAGTACCCAAGATTTCATGTAAATCTATACAACATACACTGCACTTGAACAGATGAATATTACTGGTACATGTAATACCAAAAAAGCATTTTTCTGCAGTTTGTATATACCAAGCTTGTTAGAAAAGTTTGCAGACACAGTGCTTGATGAGAAATTTTTTTGCATTCTTTTAAGAATGACGTATGTTTCATTAAACAATGTTAAACAAATGTTAAATTACTTTCATTTATAATGATAAGTATACAAAAATCAGGCTCATTTACTAAAATTTTGAAAAATATACAATTACTTTCACTTTGCGGTCATTATAGGATTCATGGAGCAACCACTTTAAGTTTCTTGATGTTAGGTGATGTGACAACCCAATTCCAAAGCTGTCAATTAATCTTTTTTATAGTTTTAAATATCTTCACTTCTACAGACTTAACCACTTAAAAATGTATTCCTATTACAAGACGTTACTTTTTAAATATCTTTTGTGGAGTATTGGATACCAGTATGATCATAAAATCACCATCTACGCAGATAGCCATTCAGGTTTGGAAACAATAATGCAAACACATACTCCATAGAAGCAATGTCCAGGTTAAGCTGGATATCGCAGCACAGGAGTCTGAACTTTTTATTGTGAAACAAAAAATACCAGAAAAAATATTCCACCCTCTAATAAAACATGTTTTTTTAGTAAATTTAAGGGTAAAATATTTTTCCAGTATTTTTTTTTTCAAAATAAAAACTTCAGACTCCTGTGATCGCAGGAATTGATCATTAAAAATGTATCTTTCTATCATTAAAGAGCTGCTACCATTCGAACACTTTGGAACTAGCTATAGATATATGTTAAGCCAATTTACAGCAGCACCGAAAGAAATTTTAGTCAGTTTCGGCATTTCTTTCCCACCTGAACATCTATTTTTTTAATAGCTCAGTGTTTAAAGACATTAAATTGGGTTGCCATTCTTGACTGATTTCACACATTGATCATCTATGATTAGCGAAAAAACATTCATAATTTCTCCAATTAATTCCAAAATTTCACAAAATGACGAATGTAGCCCCATGCAGGTGAAATAATGTAAATTTTCATTCACCACAACAGTACTAATTATAATTTCACAAAAATGTCTAATGAAAACGTGCCAAAACATGACATGATCCATGAAGCATACATGTACAAGGGGTGATCAAAAAAATCGCGAACTATCTCTGTATTTACAATACCACAATTCAGATCAGAATGAAATTTTTCACACATGTAGTCGTACAAATGCTCTATAAATAGCGGATGCTACATGATGTTTTGCTCCATGTTTGTGACGTCTTAATAAATACAGTCAAACCTCGTTATCTCAAACTCACTGGGACCGAGAAAAAACTTCGAGATATCAGGGGTAAAATACTTAGAGAATAAGTGGTCAGGACCTCTAAATCACTCGACATATCCATGGTATTTGAGGTATCATTATTCGAGATACCGAAGTTCAACTGTAGCTGTATATTTTTTAAGGATCATCAGGAAACATCAAATCTTTGTATATTTATTTGAAAATATGTACACATTTTATCTACAAAGTTTTATTGGTTTCATGAGAATAGTCCGCTCAAGCTCAGGATAGAATTTGTCTGCAAACATATCTAACAACCCTTATCCACAATGTAGAATTCAGTCAGTATTCTAATTAGTAATTACACAAATGCAGTCTTTGAATCAAAGTGTACATCATACATAGTACCTCTCAGGCATGGATCCATGAATTTCTTCCAGGGGAATTCCACCCAAGTCCAAAAAAAAAAAATATCCAACCCCAGAAATTTGTTGACAAACCAAAAAAAAAAAAAAAAATCAAATAATAAAACACCTGAACTCTTTCCCAAACATGAAAAAAACATATTTCCTTCACTTCTTAACCTTCGTTTGTATGACTGTTCCTACTAACTTAGGAACAGTTTGTTTTTTGTTTTTTTTTTTTTGGGGGGGGGGGGGGGAGGGGGGAGACCATTTGTCAGTTACTTTACTAAGTACATTTAATAACTTTGCAAATTCCATGGGGTCAGGACCCCCCCCCCCCTCTCTCTCTCTCTCTCTAGATCCATGCATGCCTCTGAATCAAAGATGAAGCCTAGTGTTGAACCCCATTAAATGTCAAAATCTTGGAACTCTGGTTCTAAAAACTAAAACAGAAAATAATTCATTAAAAGAACTTGAATTTTTTACATCTAGTTCACTGATTTACTGTAAATTCACTTATTTTTGTGGAGTCAAATGTTCATGCTTGGAGGAAAACAATTTCAATTTCGAGGGATTTGATTTCCTGGTGAAATTCTAACATTATGTGGGGGAGAGGAATTCCTACCTTGAAAAAATTAAAATTAAGTGATTTCACAGTATTTTTTTAATAAGGTCTCCTTTTTAATATTTTCTAGGAATTGGAAATAAGAAACTCACAGTAAGTAAAATTTTTGCAGCTACTCCTGGAGGAAATCCAAGTTTGTCATCCTTTGACTTCATAAGTCTGTAAAAGTCAGTTCTGTCAAAAACAAAATATACAAATAATTTTATGTCACATAACAATTTATGTATCATAGATCAAATAAAAAAAAATGTAAAAATAAAATGGCATGTATTCAATCATATGTGATGACCATGAAATGTTTACTGGGTTTGGTTAAAACAATTTTACTAAAGGTTGTTCCTACATCACCTAAAAATATGCTAGCGCTACAAAATAGCAAGGCAGCCTAAGGCTTAAGAAAAAAATCTGTTTGATTACTATTACATGCTAATAAACAAGACGTGTTTGTGAAACACTGATGTATGGCAGCTTATGGCGAAGGTTAAAGTTTCTCAAATGCAAGTCAAAATCCAGGCCAAAAGATAAAAAATGTTGGTACCCAAAGAAAGGTCTTGTCTCGAGGAATATACCTGTGAAATTTGAAAGACCTAGCTGCAACTATTCAAAAGTTATGGCGAAGGTTAAAGTTTTTTAAAAGTAAGTAAAACGTCAAATTCAAGGTCAAAGTGGTTGGTATCCAAAGGAAGGTCTTGTCACAAGGATAACATATATGAAGTATGAAAGCCCTAGCACCAACCATTCAAAAGTTATGACCAAGGTTGAAGTTTTTCAAAAGTAGGTCAAACTTCTATGTCAAGGCCAAAGGGTCAAAGTGGTTGGTATCCAAAGGAAGGTCTTGTCACAAAGAATTACATATGTGAAGTATGAAAGCCCTAGCATCAACCATTCAAAAGTTATGACCAAGGTTAAAGTTTTTCAAAAGTAGGTCAAACTCCTATGTCAAGGTCAAAAGGTCAAAGTGGTTGGTATACAAAAAAGGTCTTGTCACAAGGATTATATATGTGAAGTATGAAAGCCCTAGCTCCAACCATTCAAAAGTTATGGCCAAGGTTAAAGTTTTTAAAAGTAGGTCAAACTCCTAGGTCAAGGTCAAAGGGTCAAAAAGGTTGATATCCAGGGGAAGGTCTTATCACAAGGAATACACATGTGAAGTTTGAAACCCCAAGCATCAACTATTCAAAAGTTATTGCCAAGGTTAATGTTTTTCAAAAGTAGGTCAAACTCCAAGGTTGTTGATATCCAAAGGAAGACCTTGTCACAAAGAATACACATGTGAAGTTTGAAACCCCAAGCACCAACTGTTCAGAAGTTATGGCCAAGGTTAAAGTAAATTTTGCAAAAGTGGGTCAAACTCCAAGGTCAAGGTCAACAGGTCAAATATGATGGTACCCAAAGAAAGGTCTTGTCACAAGGAATACACATGTGAAATATGAAATTCATAGCTCCAACCAATCAAAAGTTATGGGCAAGGTTAAAGTTGATAACAGACAGACAGACAGACAAATGGACAAACAGACAATCAGACAGACAGGACAAAAACAATATACCTCTTCGATCTTTTGATCCGGGGGCATAAAAACATAGGTAATCAGAGATTACAGAGCTCACCTCAATGAATGTTGTCTTTCAGTAAGGCAAAGTCCCACACTAAACTAATAATCTAGTAATGTGTATCCCTAGAGGCAACATTTATGCAATTTTGGTCTGATAGGGCTTGCAGTTACTTGGGAATGGATTTATCCAAAAACTTTAACCTGGTCACTCATCCAGAAAGTGCAAATCAAATCCAGCATCTGAAGCAAGTTTGAGAGTGTTCGTCCCTTGATGCATCATCCATGAAAGTTTGGTTCAGATAGACCTTATAGTTACTTGAAAATGAGATCTGCTCCAAAAACTTTAACCTGGTCACTCATCCGGAAAATGTAGGTCAGATCCAGCATCCAAAGCAAGTCCAGTAGTGTGCATCCTTAGATGTATCATCCATGCCAAGTTTGGTTAATATAGGGCTTATAGTTACTTGGAAATGAGATCGGCTCCAAAAACTTTAACCTGGTCACTCATCCAGAAAATATAGGTCAGATCCAGCATCTCAAGCAAGTCCAGTAGTGTGCATCCTGAGATGTATCCTCCATGCAAGTTTGGTCAACATAGGACTTAAAGTTATTTGGAAATGAGATCTGCTCCAAAAACTTTAACCTGGTCACTCATCCGGAAAATATTGGTCAGATCCAGCATCCAAAGCAAGTTCAGTAATGTGCATCCTTAGGTGTATTATCAATGCAAGTTTGGTCAATATAGGGCTTATAGTAACTTGGAAATGAGATCTGCTCCAAAATCTTTATCTGGTCACTCATCCGGAAAATGTAGGTCAGATCCAGTATCTGAAGCAAGTCCAGTAGTGTGCATCCTTAGATGTATCATCCATACAAGATTGGTCAACATAGGACTTACAGTTACTAGAAATGAGATCTGCTCCCAGGTGTCGAAATTAACAGGAAATACTCGCTAAATGCATTTTAAAATCAGAAATTGCAGGTTAAATGTGACCTGTGGGTGCGAACTTTTGTGAGTATTAAAAAAAACTGTCTTTTTCTGATTTTTTTTGGTTTTTCCCATGGAGGTGCAATTAGCATCGCCCCATGCCCAGGGCTACCAATTTTGGGGTTTGACTAGCTCCTCGGGCTAGTAGAAATCAAAATTACCCATGTAATACACATGAAAAGCACTACAGGTATTTTCATTCATTCTTTCTTTGCTATTAAATTCCCAAACAATGAAAATTTTCCAGGCAGCATGCTCCTATAGTTCGTAAATCTCTATAATCTTATCCATTTTGTTGTACTACCTGACTTATTTACTTCCAAAAACGGACGGTTTTTCCTAATCCTAATTTCCTCCATTTCTTTGTTTATGGTAAATACATCTACATATCCCATTAACTTATTTACGGTCACTCAGTCAACTACAGGAAAAGTGTCTTGTGTTTTACAAGTTATATTTTTCCAGTGTATTTATTGATTCAAGATGAAAAAAAAAGATTTTCGCTTCAATTTAAATGAGCTAGTGCATGACCAGAAAAAGGAAGGTAATCTATGTAAATTCATTTTTTTTTTAATTTTCACTCGTAGTTATTGATTTAATATATATGATTCAATTTTTCTAGTAATTTAAGAAGAATGAACTCAAGACCCCATCAACGATTAACTATTTTACTTTCAATGTTATTTGTTACTTTTTTCCCCAAACATTTGAGCTAGTAACCTTTTACTTGAGACTAGTGATTTTATTGCTGCCTGTAGTCCATGGGCTAGTGCTTGAATTTTTTAATTGCACACCCCTGTATCCATTCAGATTTTGAAGCTTACGCTAATTTCGTCTTGTGCAAAATGTCTTGTATAAAACAACCTAAATGCTCTCAAGGTGTATATTAGTTTTCTATGAAATTGTTCAAATAATTTCTATGTTAATTACTTTGAGAAGAAAAAATGCTAGTGAAAGTTCAATATTGCTAGTAAAAAAAATTCCACTGGCTAAAATTTGCTAGTGGTCAAAAAAGTTAATTTCGATCCCTGCCCCCCCCCCCCTCCAAAAATTGACAAAGTAGGAAAATGGTTGAAATATAGATTCGTTTATCAATATTCTGAACTAAACCAACTAAAAATTTCGACGTACAATGATAAAGATTTGTTGATGAATGGTGACCTGGTGACTGCTGCTGATGGTTATTAGGTTAAAATGCAAATATTTGAATACTTTTACAGTACCTTCGATAAAGAAATCCTAAAATCACGTCAAGAAATTTAGCAATCTGTCCCTCATGCTGAAGGATCCCAAGCAACGCAGAATCGTATGCTTCCAGATTTTTCGCCATCATTTACTACTGCATGCCTAATGATCAGACGAAAGTGAAAGTTCTGAGTAAGTCGTACATTGTTCATACTCTAAAGTGTAAAAAAAAAAAAAGGGGGGGGCTCACAAATATAAAATTAATGAACATTGCTAATTATAGAATTATCATGTTGCTAATAATGACAAAAATTATAAAATCTCTATTAGATAAAATCTCTTCTAGATTAAGAGCAATACCTAAGCGAATCATTTCTAGAAAAAACTGTTTTGATTGTCGTTAGCCGGGAAAATGGCGACTCTCACTAAACTTTTGTACTCAGCAGTTTGCATTGCTGTTATATTATACGGCATTATAGATGTTCTTACAAATTACGAACAGAATAAATGTCATATGACATACATGTTCGAACAACCGGAATATTTGGTGCGTATTTTATTGAATGGTTTTTGTAATGTATTTTGCAACAGAGTAAATTCTAACGAGGGTAAAAAAGATATTGACAATGATATTCTAGTAATGTTAGTGTAGGAAATTATCTTTGTGTAGGATTATCTCCTTTGAAGTTTGAAAAAAGTCTACTGACTTGATTACTAAAAATTGATCAATGCAACATGATTCCAACATAATTAATCTGACGTTAGCTGTTAAAGGTGAAAAACTGGAATGATTGAAATGTGTGTTTAAGCCTGTGTGTGATGGGTTGAGAAACTAGGTTGTCTTTTAAAATTTTCATGAAGCATATAAAGAGCTTTCAAAGAGAATAAAAACAGGTGGTATTTCTTGAAAAAAGAACTACCTTGTAGAAGCAACTTTAGATAAAATATTGTTAATGAATTTTTCTCTAATGAATAATTTGGATGTTACAATCACAATTCAGCCGAGTAAAAGTACCAGGTACTGGCAGATTTTGAAAGACCTGCATAAGTCAGATTCTATTTCATTAAGAGTTAAACCAAAGACACAGATAACAGAACTAGATTTGCAGCTGTTCAAATTCTCATGATATCTCATATGGGCACTAATTTACTTTTTTTTAATCTTGCACTGTTTAAATCACATAAATATTTAATTTATCAAGGATAACGAAGTTAAACATTTTTATTTAAATGATCAGCAAGATATTCAAAATGTTGTATTTTTGTAACTTTTTTTTTTTAAATTTGAAAAAGTAACAGGTGTCATCCATGGTCAGCCATATCTCGAGATTTTTCCAACTTTTGATTATTGACCTCTTTCATTTACGTAATTTGATTTTGTTAATCAATGTATAGTTTTTAAACTTCACAAGTCACACACCTATGTATAATAAAATTAATGTTACTTGAACTTAATTTAGATTGAATATAGAAGTTAGAACCAATATTGAAACAGTAATTTTAAGAATAATGCCAGATCCAGCACATATTTTAGCAAATAAACCTATTAATGATGGAGTTGCAAATTTCTGTTTAACATGTGCTACAATGTAGTGGTGTACATAAATTGATGAGAAAGACTGGAGTAGATTAAAAAGATTACCACTAAAACAAAGCTGTTTTGACCACAAAACTTCCTTTTTTTATGATCAGATTAATATTGATAATGCAATTTTGCTGAGAACCTTTTGTTCTTCAGGAGATTCCCCTGAGCAAGGCTATTAAAGATAAGTTTCCACGATACAGCTTGTATGTATATGGTGAAGGGTAAGTACTCTGTGTTTTCTACTTTAAAGAAGTCACATTAAATATGATAGATATGAAATGCTACAGTGTTTTTCTTGTTTTTAATGCAATATATTAGGCAATTGACATATGTATAATCCAATTCTTGACTTTCAAGATCTGTAATGGATAATATAGATTTGAGTCATAGTAATAGTTTGTTCTGTTTCCTTTTTTAGAGTTTATGCCAGAAATCTGGAGTGAGTATTGTATGATATGAAATTCTTAGAGTATGTGAATGAATTATATATATTAATAGTTAAATGTAATAGAAGTTTGATGAGTGCAATGTTTTGAATTCCAGGAAGATGAATTTTCAAGGCATTCCAGTTTTATTTATACCTGGGAACTCTGGCAGCCACAAGCAAGGTTCAGATTAATTTTCAGAAATATACTAATATTTTCATTCATCAAGAAAGATTTTTTTTTCTCTCATCTAAATTAGATGAGAGAAAAATTCATTATCATATGGGACAATGTTTCTATTGAGCAAAAAAAGGAAAGAAAATAAATACATTGTATATTAATAAATAAAATCATATTTTCATTGTCATTATGACTTATGACACAGGCCCGTAGGAAGCAATTTCACTTTGAGGGGGCACAACCATACATTTTCAGTTGAGGAGGCACTATCAACTACGAAAATTCCTTGACAAGCAAAAAAAAGAAAAGGTCATCAGACATTATTATTGAGGGGGCACAAGCATGTAGTAGCTATGTTTCTATAGTATTCTATATATCGGCAAAATTATTGGGGGGGCACCCCCCCCCCCCCCCCCCCCCCGGTTCCTACGGCCATGTGACATGTAATATCATTTGACTGCAGAATATCTTGTTTTATTAAAGCTTTGTGTACTTATTGTAGCCCGCTCTCTGGCATCTGTATCCCTCAGGAGAGCCATGGATAAGAGAACATACTTCTTCTTCAACTATTTCACAGTGGATTTTAATGAGGTAGAAGATGGTTGCAATTCTCTGAGCTTAAATCCAGAAATCTCAATAAAAAATATGAAAGATTGTCATTTTTTTCATTGAAAATAAAACTGTTTCTCTTTAATTATTATAATTACCTACATTCACTGAAATAATCATTATAATTTTGTTGGAAATTTTAATTAATAGTATTCTTTGTTGAATGTTTTAGGATTTAACTGCACTGTTTGGTGGTGTGCTTCAAGACCAAACAGGTATTATATGTACCGTATATACTCATCGGTTCGCCTATAAGTTGATTGTATTTTTTTAGGTTATTTTAGAGGAATTTGCTACTGACCCGCTTATAAGTCGGTGCAACTTTTTGCCAGAATCAGTTGACAATTTTAAATAAATGCTCTAATGTTTTAACCTGGTTTGGATTAATATTTTTAGAAATGATGCTGATATTTAATATTAAATCATTAAGAAAAATACTAAATGTACACTTAAGATAAAAATAAAGTTATTAAAATATGTAAATACTTGTACTTTATGTATAATTTTAGTATACATAAATGATATAATATATCCAGATTTTTTTCAACGATAATTCCTTGGAAATGTTTATAGAATACTACATTTCACTGTCCAGAAAAATACTAATCTTTTTATGACTCGCCTATAAGTCTGACATAGAGTTTTGGACCAAAATTTAACTCCCAAAAAACCAACTCATAGGCGAGTATATACGGTATACACAAGTATGATACTGAATATACTCACCTATAAGTCGGTCCTCATATAAGTCAGTTGTATATTTTAAGCTTGTATTAGAGGGCTTGAAACTCTAAAATACCAATCTTTTCATAACTCGCCTATAAGTCGGACATAGAGTTTTGGACCAAAATTTAACTCCCAAAAAACCGACTTATAGGCGAGTATATACGGTACTTTATAGTTATTATAACTCTATATCTTTTCATAGTAACAAATTTGTTGACCACTTTACAAATAAACTCTTACTTTACCACATATGTATCAAAGATGATGAAGATTGCTATGTATTATGATTTTCTCAATGCATTTGAACCATCATGATCCGTTAATTTGTTTTATTAATTAGATGGAATCAAACCTTTCATTAAACAAAAGATGAATACTTTTCATTTAATGCAGTCCCAGAAATTGTTTTCTTGCTTTGACAGAATTTGTACACACATGTATAAAGAAAATCCTGAGATTGTACAAGAATGCTGAGAACAAACCTTCCACAGTTCTGTTGGTTGGACATTCTATGGTAAGTCATGTTTTGTGCATTATTAGCATATGCTTTAGAATTAAAAAAAAAAATAAATACCAATTCTATAACCCTAATAATTGCACAGATATATATGAATAACTTCTATAAAACAAGCTTTTTCTGAGTTATCTCCCTTAAAGTGCTTTTGCGTTACAAAGTATACGTGAATGTTGTATTTTGTAGGGAGGAATGATTGCCAGAGCTTTGTTTACTTTGCCAGACTTTGATCATAAACTCGTCAATACCATTATTACACAGTCCACCCCTCATCAAATTCCAGGTATAATGTCACTCTGTTAAGATGATTATGTTATTCTTATCCATGTTATACATAGAAGTTTTCATTTCACTTGAAAAATTGAAAAAGAGCATGTGTTTCATGTAATACACAGCCTTTATATTGTTGTAATAAATCATACAGGCTGCTTCCACTACAGTAAGCTAACTTATATGTAATATGTACACAAACAAACTCAATCATTTCCACATGTAAATAGATATTTTGGGTTCACAACAGTGTAACTACAATATATTTCCTGACTTGATTTTTTTTTTTTTTTTTTTTAAAAATTAGGTATTGTAGTTACATACATGTGATATGTACCGGCCCATTCATCGTGTACCGGCGGGACACCAAAATTCACGGAATATGAAAATTTGTACAGTATTTTGAATTTCTCGCTAAATGCCGCCATTTTCTTCTCATTCTCGCTCGCGAGACACTGGAAAACGTTACCTGTGTTTGACACTTGACCTTCTGATAATTGTGTAGTGTACACAAACCATAGCGTGTGAAGGTGTGAATTGCCAATTGGGATAATTGTCTTGCTATAAATCTGTATCAAGATACCCTTTTAGGTAGCTTTATTTTTAAAGGGGTACTTAATTATGACTGTTAATGTTTCGTAACTTCATTGAAAAAAATTAAGCCAACTTCTAAAGTTGATATACATGACCTAATATGCATGAATGTGACCCAGATCTTCGTAGGTATAAAATATACGATGTTTATTACCATGATTACACTGAAATAAAGGATATAGTTTTAAGTTTTTATGTGCTGAAATTTATGTATGATTGTATTTGCTGCTGTTATTTAGAATTGCTGATGTATATATCAGTAATATGAACAAGATGTAAATTGGAGACATTGACTCTCATGTTAATACTATATAAAGCTGGCAAACAAACTGTCATCTAAACTAGCTTAATTTATAGTCGATTCATAAGAACATTGTGATTATAAAACACAATATATGAAATTTTAAAGCATTCAAATCTCCATTACAACTTTTAAAATAAGACATTTGCAACAATATATATTTGTTGGTTTAGAAATAAGGTGCCTTATCAGAAGAATTTAAGCGATATTTTAAACCGTTTTTTGTACGGTTTTTTGATAGGCAGTGTACATTTTTTTCACTCAAATTCCAGTTTTTTTTTTTATGGCTCCTGTACAGTTTTGTGGTCTTTGACTTATCACATGTATGTAGTTATTTTCTGAGACAACATTTTTCCTGAGACAGATTATACTATAATTCTGTAGCCCTCTATTTTACAAAATCTGACATTTTCTCAACTTATCATTTCTTAACTTTGTTTTTGTTTACAGTGTTGTCTGTAGATTCCTATATTGCCAGTTTCTACAGGAAAGTCAACAGTTACTGGAAGGAGTATGGTGCCACCAATCTCAGTCATGTGACCGTGGTCTCCACGGGTGGTGGCCACAGAGATTACCAGGTGCGCAATGGACTCAGCTCACTCCAAGGGGTAAGTCAGGGTTTTCATTTATTGGTTTCGATCATTTTCTGAATGGTTTATCATTGTCATCAGTTCCTTTTTATGCCTTATTTTACCTAGTAATTCTCAAGAGGGACGTTAAACAACAAAACAAAACTTAGTAATTCACCTTCTGTCTGTCTGACTAATGTAGATTCCAAAATATGTGGGAAAAAAATTTTTGTTGCATGATTTTCCAAGAAGCAGATGGTGAGCTAAAATTTATCAATTGCTGAAATACATACATGTAAAAACTCTCAATAAATAGACCACTTGCCAATTCATATTCTGCCATTATATATTGAAGAGTTATTTCCCGATAAAAAGTACTCGAGTAAAGTAAGCAATCTACATTATCCCATGCACAAAGATAAAAGTTTTTCACACCAGAGCTTATAATCTTTGTTATGAAATACATTATGTACATTATTTTTGGGAACAAACTTTTTGTTACAGTGATTTTTAAATTTAAAAAGTCTTTCAAACCAGGTCTTATTTTTGTTTCAGATCATTGATCCATCAAGAGGGATCAGCTCATCAGTAAGTAATTAATGGAATAAAAACTTTCTTTTCCTTATTTTACTTTCATTTATAGTGTTTTAATTACATTGTCACATACCTGATAATCCCATATCTATGAATATTGTAGACAATATCCATGCCAAAGGCTTGGGTCTCCACAGATCATCTGTGTGCTGTCTGGTTTGTGCTTATTTATTTTCATTTAACATAAAGGACTGACCTTTATATAGTGTATTTGTTTTGATTGAAAATTTTAAGCTTAAGTAATTTTTCAGACTTTGTTGTTCATCTTTGATATACATGTAGGTGTAAGGAAGTTGTCATGGCAACAGTGAGAGCAATATTTGATATTGTGGATACATCAACCAATCAGGTTTGAATACTTTTGTTTATTTTAAAAACCAGTAACGTAGGAAAATAAGACTAATGTTGATATGCGACCATCTGTCTGTCTTCCAGATTTCCACAGATGCTGATCGTAGAATGGATGTCTTTCGTCATTACTTTCTGTCACACTCTGGAGCCAAAAAATACATAAGGACATGGGCAAAGGAGATCACATTAGATCCTGCAGCGACCTGGATGATGGAAAATGGCCTCACTTGGGAATTTGCTAGGGACAAGGTAAACTCTGAAGAATTTTTTGGAGAGAACAAAATGCATCATACTTTTTTAAACTATAAGCAACACTTTCATCTTAAATGATGAATAAACAAAGCTTTGACATATGTGGTAATGGAAGTTATCATTTTTTGACAAAAAATTGCTATTATTAAAGCATGTATGTCAAATTTAGAAAATGTTTTAGAACTGTGGCAATAATAATGACAGAAATGTTAAGCATGCTGATTTAAAATATAATAAATGTTTCAATCACAAAAAAAAATAAAAACAAAAGAAACAAAGTAAATTCTTATTCTTTTTCAAATTGTACCTCAGGTTCTTGGAGAGTAGAACTTGTGCCAGGTACTTTAATTTTCTAAACACGATCAGGTGTTAAATTTGAGATAATTTTCCAGGTGAAAGAACCAACCTATATATCTGTCCCCATTGTCAGAAAAAGGGAGGACACTTTTGTTGCAGTGTCAGATATTGTGAGTAAAGTTTGTGCATTCTGAATTTTAAAAAATAATAATTTAGGGGGGAAATATAATAAAAAGCCTTGAAACTAGACATTATTACATTTCTGTAAGTTCCTTATGACGTGAAAAAAATTGCAACAAAATTATTATAATTTTTATATGTTTTTTTTTAAGGAGGCAAATGATTGGATTTGTGTCTGTAAGAGTGAAACTGGAGATGGTAGATGGTTTGTAAATATTTTCCATCATTTTGTTCAGCCTTGGATCTCTGTTATAACTAGAGACCAAGTGTAAAAAGATATTTTTTATAAGAGAAAAAATGTAGAGCAACAGAGAAAAGCAAGATTAAGTTCTGCTGTATGTCAAAATGAAATTTTCCATCCTGTTTTATGATAAACAAATTTAATGGGATTTTTTTTTTCACTAATTTTAGCAAAAAATGTAAGAATTTATCAAAAAATGGGGAAGCCATTCCACCAAGTGACTCAGGAAGAAAGGTAAATGTGGCAATCCACAAAAAATGAATTCCACAGTAATATGCCAATGAGTGTTATCCACCTTTGTGATTTATGGCATGTGAAATACAAAATTATCATTTGATTTGAACATTCTCATTCTTCTACATCTTGAAATTTTTAATTTTTTAAAAATATATATTCTTAATCAGTACTTAATATCCAAGAACAGTCAAATCTCATTATCTCAAACTTGATGTGACCAAGGAAAAACAGAGATATCCAAAGGTTTGAGATATCAAGGGTAAAACACATAGAGTAAAAGTGGTTTGGACCTCCAAATGACTTTGACATATCCATGGTATTCGAGATATCAGTGTTAAAGATACCAAAATTCAACTGTAGTTTATATGCCTTAAGAGACTTTACATAGATAACAGTTGTTGACTGTAATATTTATTACATTACATTTTTCTTTGATATATTCTTAATTTCAGGTTATACATATCAACTTGAAGAAATATAAGTCAATGACACACCTTGTAATTATAGTCCCAAGGACATATGAAAAGGTAAATCTATTTAAAATTTAAATTAAAATGAAGAACCACACCCTCTTTCAAGGAAATATATGTACACATAATATGGAAGGGTCATTTAAAATTTATCTTTTCCAAAACCACCATAAAAGAAAACTTTATTATATATTGTAGATTCAAGTTTATTCAAATCATGGCTGCCAGCGCGGCTAGGGTTGGGCCACAAAAGGGGGTCAAAGATTAACATAGAAAGATATAAGGAAAGAGATTTTAAAGTTTTCTTCTCAAGAATAGCAGGTCTATGTTTAGACTAAATAGTGATATTAGTGAGAGTGAATCTGCAGCCATCCTTGTGTAGCACTGATTCAAGTTTGTTCAAGTCCCAGCTTATAAGTTTTATATGGGAAATATATAGAAAAAATCTTTCGAAAAAATTTCTTCTTAATTAAGAACAACAGGGTCAGGATTAGTAAAACATTTCAATCATTATCAAAGTGCAGTGTTTTAATGCTGTGTATGATGACACTTTACAATAAAAAAAAAAATCAGACCCAGATTTAAAATCTTGATTTGTGAATTTACAATGTAACAAATAAAAACATGAAAAAAACTATGATTTCAATAATCTAGATTCAGTTCAGAAAATCCAAATACAAATCAAACAATACATAATCAGAATTCAGATCTTGTTTTTTCCTTATGACTTCATTGGGTGATCTTGATTTATCGGAGTTGGACACCCTATGTTGAATATGTTTCTTTTTTGTTTTTATCTATGTTCATCATACATCAAAATTATTTTCTCATTTCTGCTATAGGATGTAGATTGATTGAATGGCAAACTACAATTCACTATCATCATAAGAAACACAGATATACAAACTTTGAAATAACAGTTTATATCTTTTAACCTCAATCTTTCACAGGTAGAAGTGATGGGGGACATTTATCGTAAAGATGACAGACACCTGAGTTATCGTATGCCTGGTTTTATGGATATGTTGATGACCTACCCTGAGAGTGTGACCCAGGGGACCGGGATCCTTACCCTATTTAATGACACCCTGTTCTATGACCTTCACCTACTTAATATGGATTTGATTCTGAAGGCCTTTACTGTGAAACTTGAGCCAAAGAGATGCTCAGCAGCTAAACCAGGTTTGAATAACCACAGATATCAACATTTTATTCTGAATATACATTTTTGTTTTGGGGTGGTGTTGTAGTAATTATTCATTCCTGTGAGTTTGCATCTGTGACATGAAAGTAGAAATTTCTATCTTCTGTGGGTTTAGCTTTTGATGAAGGTGCTTTACATTTTTTGTATGGATTGTTACATTAAAGTACATATTTGATCCTGATTATTGTTTATATTTGGTCTTAGATTTACACGATGGTTATATGATGAAACTGCATGTCCCAGGCAGTAATGAAGACACTATATCATTTAACAAGTAAGCAGCAAAGAAGCAAAAAAAAAATAACAAACAAATTTTAGGTGCCAGTGGGAATGGATTTTTTGTGCACATCTGCAAAATTAACATGACAGAGATACATGTTTGTTACAGGGATAATAAAGTGTAAAATCAAGGAAGAATCTTTAACTCTTCATCACCAGACCTTTTTTTACATGTATCCGTAATAAAGACCTTTTTATAACATGTAAGAAAATAAATCTAGAAAATCTAGAAAGTAAATTAAAAATTAAAAACAAAATTTCTTTTCAGATTAAGTGAGACTGGGTATCTGCCTCTGAAGTTACAGAGTGGTAACATAGATAATACTAAAGATGTTGAGCTAAAAGTGTATACAGACCCCACATGTACCTACCAACTAATGATACTGGTATCACCTGTACAGATGCTGGGACAGGTATGTTATATAATGATTATATATACAGACCCCACATGTACCTACCAACTAATGATACTGGTATCACCTGTACAGATGCTGGGACAGGTATGTTATATAATGATTATATATACAGACCCCACATGTACCTACCAACTAATGATACTGGTATCACCTGTACAGATGCTGGGACAGGTATGTTATATAATGATTATATATACAGACCCCACATGTACCTACCAACTAATGATACTGGTATCACCTGTACAGATGCTGGGACAGGTATGTTATATAATGATTATATATACAGACCCCACATGTACCTACCAACTAATGATATTGGTATCACCTGTACAGATGCTGGGACAGGTATGTTATATAATGATTATATATACAGACCCCACATGTACCTACCAACTAATGATACTGGTATCACCTGTACAGATGCTGGGACAGGTATGTTATATAATGATTATATATACAGACCCCACATGTACCTACCAACTAATGATATTGGTATCATCTGTACAGATGCTGGGACAGGTATGTTATATAATGATTATATATACAGACCCCACATGTACCTACCAACTAATGATACTGGTATCACCTGTACAGATGCTGGGACAGGTATGTTGTAATATTAATTATATATACAGACCCCACATGTACCTACCAACTAATGATATTGGTATCACCTGTACAGATGCTGGGACAGGTATGTTGTAATATTAATTATATATACAGACCCAAGGTTTACCTTCCAACTAATGATACTGGTATCACCTGTACAGATGCTGGGACAGGTATGTTATATAATGATTATATATACAGACTCAATATGTACCTACCAACTAATGATACTGGTATCACCTGTGCAGATGCTGGGACAGGTATGTTGTAATATTAATTATATATACAGACCCAAGGTTTACCTTCCAACTAATGATACTGGTATCAACTGTACAGATGCTGGGACAGGTATGTTGTATAATGATTATATATACAGACTCAATATGTACCTACCAACTAATGATACTGGTATCACCTGTGCAGATGCTGGGACAGGTAAGCTATATATCAATTACCCCAGGTATGTATACAGACTAAATATGTATCTACCAACTAATGATACTGGTATCACCTGTACAGATGCTGGGACAGGTATGTTATATATTAATTATAGATACAGACCCAACTTGTACCTACCAACAAATGATACTGGTGTCATTAGAATTTAGTAATCTTCAGTATATTAATTATATACATTGTATGTTATACAATGTATATTAATTGTATACACACCCCATTTTTACCTACCAACTGAAAACAATGGTTTCACTTGAGCAATAGTAGAACAGGTACGATAGATTTTTGTCTGCATAGTGATTGAGAAGCAGTGCTCTTGGTCCTCGTTAAATAAATTTTATCATTATTGTCATTCAGCTTTGGATGTAAGGGTAATATCAAATGATTACTAAATGTTATTAATCTATTAATTATGGAATACTTGTTGTTCAGGATGTAGACTTTTTAATCAAGACATGGAGAATAACTTCAAATTCTCTTAGTTTCAAGTTGCTTTTCATGAAACAAAAATCCACATGTGAATGGATTTCTTCAGCAAGTTGGAATTGAATGTAGATATATGTTGATGTTCTACAAGTTTTAAAAACTTTGTTCACCAGCATCAACTTAATAGTCAATTGTTTATTTAATTTTTGTTTTACAAAAGTACAGGGAAAAAATAGTGGTTAAATTCTGAAGTAAATTTTGAAAAAAATAAAGACTATCTCTGGTAGAGGAAAGGGGGGGGTGTCATATCTAACATTTGATTTCCATTCATGTATAATGCTCTTAGTAGTTACTTTAAATTAGAAGAAGAATGTTCAGTAGTTTAATTTCCATTTAAATCATGCATATCTAAAGGGTGCTCTGATCAAGAGAGATTAATGATTCAGTAGTCATACTCAGCAAAAAGAGTATTCAGAAGAAACTGGTTATTTTCATGGTCTACATTTTATCTGATTTGTCAGTCTTTTTCAAGTTTTATGCATTTCTTTAAGAAGAAGAAGACTTAAATACAACTGACATGGAGGCAAATTCAACTCAATCATTGATGTTATTCATTAAATTTTCAGTCTTGGATCTACTTAGGCAAGTCACAATTGAAAGCAGGTGCAGGGCATGCCCTTTTCTAAAACATATTCAAAGTAAAATTTCCTATGCATGTTAAATTTCAAATTTTCCAAATTTCAATTAAAATGTTGTGTGTAATAAACTAAATCTCAATTCACTTGCAAAATTGGCCCAAATGAGTTACCTTTGCTCAATTACCACTACTAACTCAGATGTACATTCTAAGTACTTGCACCTGTAATTGAGCGATTAACTTAATGAGTAAATCGAGGAATTTGAAAACCAGTTAAACTATGTCTTTAGTATCACTAAATAAATATTCATTGAGTATTGCCGTTTCAAACCCATTGTTTCAATGGGTCCTAGAGCAAAGAACCCTTTAAAAGTAAACTGATAAAAATCAGTTTTAATAGACATTACAGTACATTGTGTAATCTGGATTTATTGTAATTGTTGTCAACTTAGAGTGTGTTGTTGTGGCCAAAATCAGGTCTTTCAAAATCTGCCGGTACCTGGTATTCTTACCCAGCTGAAGTTATGATGGTACAAAATATTTGGTTGAGAAAAATAACATCTTTAATTAAAATCGCTTCCACAAGGTACCTCCTATTTTTGTAGACGTACCACCTGTTTCTAATCTTTTTGAAAGCCCTGCCATTTTGTGGAGAAGTGACTCACAGTGGTGTTGTCAAATACAAATTTGTTTGGGGTGTTCTCAAAATCATAAAAGATTATGTTTGTTTTTCTCAAGGAATGATTTTTCTCTTATTTATTTACTAGCCCCTTACAAAATGAAAGTTTAAAAAAAAAATTCAGGTATGTACTCTTTAGGTTTTGTGTTAAATCATAAACTTTATTTATTTATCCAGTAGACATGTAATACTTCGAGGTTAATTGGTATACGAATCACTTTGTCCATCTATGCAGTCATCTGTATGTCTGTAAATGTAATATTATTTCAATATGTAAGCATGTTCCTTATTTATCAAAGTTTTAGTCTTAACAAAGCTTGCACATTCTTCTCTTGCTGCATGCATCAGATGCTGCATCTGACCTACATTTCATGCTTGAGTAGCTCTGGTTAAGTACAGTAGGTAGGCCTAGCTGCTTTTAACTTATAAGGAATCAGGTATTAGTGTTTTGTCCTCTGCAAGATTTGGATACCTCTACAGATATAGTCTTGTGAGATAGTGACTTGGAATTTATGAGTGAGACAAAATTTTCACAGTTGTTTATTGTCATATTTAGTACAAATAAATGGGAGAATGAGATTTTTGCCAAGCAAATGGTGTTGCCTAATTACTTGAAAATAAATTCTTGGGAATGAAAAGTGATTTACAGTAAATTTTATGCTTGAATGACTTTGGTTAAGGACATTTTTAAAGCAAATTTCTAGTTTATTACAAATGTTACATAATGAAAACCTGCACAAGTGCATTTTGAATGTTTATATGTCTGATAGATATATATATATATATATATATATATATATATATATATATATATATATATAATTGGATGCTGTATCTAATCTACCTTTAACACTAGATTGTTTGGAGAGAGAAAATTCTTCCACGCTTCACGTGGATGCCACACGGTGCAAGCTTAATGATATGTTTCATCAGCACTGATCAGTAGATACTTTTGTCTATGCAGCATTTGAAATGCACTATATTTTGATTCTGCTCTTGAGGAAAGTATTATTTCCAAAAAGACAAAATGTTTCTTTGATCTAGTTTGTATAGAAATGAATGGTTTATATGTTAAGATGAATTGATTTTCTTTAGGCACGTGTCAACTAAAACTTAGTGTATTGAGATACATGTGGTTTTAAAATTTTGAACTGAGAAAGTTCACTCAATAGAGAATGTTTTAATTGTCTTGCATTATATTATGTGACAATGTTTGCTCAAGATTTTCATATCCTTTTAATATTTCCTTTTACCATTTTTCTCACAAAGTGCTTTCTGTGGGTTGATTAAGAACAACTTATGAATATCGTTAAACTGAAGACATACTGCAGTGAAGAGAAAATTTTACACTTCCTTTCTTAGGTTCACATTTTTTATATACATGTACTAGCTAGTCCTTTTTAGTAAAAGTTGAAAGAGTTTTCAGAGAGAAAGTATGGTCCTTTAATGTCTTTAAAAAATTTATACAAAAGTTTTCTGTCTTTGAATTTAATGCAAGTTTAATTCATTGCACAGTATGTCGATCTTTCTGAGTTTTAAAAGAATTAACTATCAACATTAATGCTTTGCAATCAAAATGTTTTGCTTTTCTTGACAATTACGAAGAAGCAAAATAGTGATTGTTTATAGAGCTGAACTGTTACTCCATCTTTGTGTTCAGGTATCATTTAAACTTTTGCAAAATATCTTAATTAGTATTTTAATGGGTTTGTTGACCCACTTTTCAGATGTATACTGTTGACACTGGCATCAAATAAATACATTTTTATTTCTCTTTCAACACAATTTTACAGATCAAGAAGAAAATGTGATATTGTTTTAAGTAAATAAATTGGAAGGGGGTTGGCACTGTTACACTGTATTCAAAATAATGGAATGACACTTGGGTATTTGATATTAAAACCTGATTTTGTCTCAATATTTACTAGTTGATAAAAACATCATTGGACCTGTCACATTTTCTGTTGGTTGTCTATTGACACAAGCTTTTACTGATAGTCGAATGAAGAAAGATGAGTTTATTAGTGTTGTCAGGGGCTTATTGAAGAGATAAAAGGAATTGGTTTTGCACATCTTTGCTGATAAGACTGGGCAGATTGCTGAATGCCCTCTTTATACGCATTTGGAACTCTTCAATGTTAAAGATTTCAAAATGAAGCGATATATTCACACATATTCCTGTCAATTTAAGACAATGTAACAGATTTATATGCACAATATTGCAGATTTTGTGAAAGCCATCAAAGGAACTCAAATTCTAATTTGACATACTTTAAAGATTTTTAACGTTTTATGGAAATCAAATAATTTAGGGGTTATATTTTCAAAAAGAATTTGATATGAAAGATCAAGATTATATTTCATCATTCACATGTATTTTTCTTCTTGTAATTAAGTTACATGTTAGCTAACAATTTAACTTAAGTGAACTAAATGCTTTTAAATCACATTGCTTCAAAGCCTTGTACATGTATATGTCAATATCAAAAATAAGATTTAGGCCTCAGAGGAAAATAAACTTTTACCTAGTTTTTTTTCCAAATCAAAGAAAGAAAAAAATATTAAACTTGTGCATGAATTGTTTTGAATTAGGAAAATAAAAGTAAAATGAAGTTAAATCCTCCAATTATCTTGTCAACCAGGATAAATATAGTACTTGTACATATCCCAGGATTCTTTGCTGTACCTCTAAGAGTTTTGATTGTCTTAAATGGGACACCAATCATCCTAGCTAGGCTATCATCCAGGCCAAAGTCAGGAGATTTGTTGACATATTTCTTACTATGAATGAATTGAGTGATCTTGCCGAGATTTGCACCATGTCTTTTAATATCCCATTCTAACTCATTTGATTGTAGAAAAAGACCTACTTCTAATTCAGCAAAAATTTCTATAGTGAGCACTTTGTTACTTTTTCACTCCCCATACAAATATTGCCCAAATATTTAAGTGCATTAAAAACAAAATTAATAAAAAGATATCTCAAATAAATGGGTTCTCTGCTTTTCCTTAAGTTTTAAAAGGAAATACTTACACAGACAATTCTTTTATTTTTTTTAATTTCATTTCAAACATCTATTATCCATTGAAGTGTTCTTCCAGTCAAAAGTGCTCTGTGCAGTACCTTTTCAATATCTTGGTCTTGTCAGCCTATAGACATAACTCTTTGTGCATTCCATTATTATGACATAATGGACAAACGAAAGAGAAGACACAGCATCAATGGTTAAGTAAATATTTACACACTGCTTAGGAAATGATAGTCAGTGTGCATGCACATTGGTTTGCACATGTCAGCGTTCTTTACTGGTAGCTAGGGACTCAAGTATCTGTCAACTTTAATAAATGAAGCTAACTTTCCCTTCATTAGTTTGAAAATCAATTACCTAATATTTTGCATGCATTTAGTTTTTCTTTTTTCCCCTTTAACCATGATCTAAGGCTAATGAAATGCTCTCTATTATCTAAATATAAGTAATGCCTCAGAGAAAATTCTGTTCAATATTGATTCATAAAACTCAGTGTGAAGTCATTTCTGCTAAGTCATTTCAGCTGATTAAAACTTGTTAGTTAGGGCTGCTTTGTAGAACTGCATACAATTATTGTTATCAATTTATGCTTTAACTTCCAAGTCTTTGTCCATAAATGTCACCTTATCAAGGACATTATTCCACAATGTTTGAATATTGAATCTCAAGGTCTTTTTTTATTGTCCTCAAAACTTAATTTTTACCCGCTTCATCAGTCAGCAAATCCACAAAAATGCAAAATGTTTAGAAATGATTCTGTTACATTAAAATTGTTTGAAAACATTTAACATTTTACTAAATGCTTTATTAAAACTGTGTTAATTTTTTTTTTAAGCAAGTCCTCAAAAATTGTCAGATCAAAGTCTAAAATTTAAATGTCTATTACACAGAATCTGTTTATAGATTTTAATATAAAATGAAATGTAATGTAATCATTACATGTTACTATACATATACTTGTATTAATTCTTCCATGAATGTAATTCAAGATAGTTAATTTTGGTATCACAAAGCATTTTAGGCTTTTGCTAATAGTCAACCAATGTCTGAACGACCGTAAAAACAAAGAATTGATTAATTTTTCACTAAAAGAGAACATTGATCTTGCAATATGAACTACTCTGTAGTTCACTTTCTTCGGTAAATGTCACCTGAGTTGTAACATTTCCTCATCCACCTGTCAATCATGTCACGACCTTGACATTCCTGTATGTGTTCAATATAGTTCTTCAAATTCTGGTTCAGCTGCTGAAATCGCCAACTTTCTCCTGTAGGAAGTTTTATCCGTCTACTTGCCATATTTATTCTAGCATTGTAATTCACTCCAAGATTATCCATGACCTTCCTATTGCTCGCAAGATCCTCAATGGCCCGAGCTAGTCTTAACGTTCCATTCAAGTGATGGGGAAAATCACACAAACTGTCCTGTTTTGTTAATTTTGAATCCATCTTAGAAACGTTGGAAAAAATTGTTGGATGTCTATCAAGTCAATTATGAATGCAATTTTGAATACTAATCAAGCAATTTATTGAAACATTTTTAATCTTTGTATTTGATGCTCAAGTTCCCATTTGGGATATTGGGTTATACTATATGCACGAAATTCTATTTGTTAGCTGAAATATGACCATGCCTATCAGTAGCAAGAGTAGAAATCTAGCTGGGCCTCTTTTTTGTCCATTGCAATATGAGACACAATTTTTTTGTGATTTTGGAGGTTTGTTTCATGCTGCTAATAAAAGATCATGTCTAATTGAATAGTTTAAATGTATGAATGTGTATTTTCTATATTGTTTTATTCTTAAGCCAAGCAAGACTGAAGTTTTATTAGAAAAATGGATTTTTTTTTCAGGTATGTTTCAAAACAATAAAAAAAAATCCTTTAAACATTCGGGATGTAAGGGATATTGCTTCAAACTGCTGAAAGAATCTATTTAATCAAATCACTTTTTCCTTAGAATTTTTTTTCTTTGAAAAAGAAAGCAAATGTATGCATCAGCAAAAATGAAACAATATTCTTCATCTCTTTTTCAAAGAGTGTGAATATGATGCTTTTCTAATTTCAAACTTTAAAACCATTGATTAGCTGAACATTTTCTCTATGCTGCATGATTGATCTTAAATTTATTTCTTGGTCATTCTCATGCTATGTTTGCATTCCCAGGAAACATACCCATTGTGCATTATTCTTCACTTAGTTCAGAGAATTTTGCAATTTTATTTCCCATTAGTGTTGTTATAAACATAGAAGAATCAATATGCTGACTAACTTTTGATCTTTGAAACTTCTTATGGGAAAAAAAGTCTTTTATTTTTCTTGTACAGCATTATTCCATTTCATGGTTTCCTCATAACCATTTGTTTTTCAATACAATTTGCTCAAAATAACAGAGATGACAAAAAGGTTTCATTTCAACTGAATCAATAAAAAAAACTTCTATTTAGATTATTTGAATTTAATTGTCAATCAATGTACAGTCTGTTTTTGATATGTGGAAGTAGGCGGGACAAGATATCCAGGTGTTCGAGATATCAGAAGTTTGACGTCAATGATCGATTTCTTTTAAACAATTCAACACATCTTGCATATATACCATAATTAGTAAAACTTTTTATAAGATTAGAAGAAACAAATACAAACTTTATTTGCTGATACATCTTAGTGAAAGCTATTCAACTGCATCAGAAATAAGAAAAAATTTGACCTTCTGTTTGACTTTGACCTCACTTTTCTCATTAAATCTGTGTTTAGCTTAGTTTCAAAAAAAAAATCAAGATACTTTTATCAAACTCCATATGCCAATAGATTTTGGTGAGTGTTATTGAACTGTATCTAAAATGTTTGACATTGACCTTATTCTTTATTTTACATTCAGCTCAGTTTCAAAGAAACTATTTAAGATATTTTTATGTAAACACTCTGCACTGGTACATACTTTTTGACCTTGACTTTCTCTATGACCTTGACCTTACTATTCTTAATGAAATTTGTGTTTGCTCAATTTCAAATCAACTATTTAAGATATTTTTGTCATGCTTCATATGCTGATACCATTCAGCTGCATCAAAATTTCTGGACTCTGACTTTTCATATGACCTTGACCTTACAATTTAATTTTGCATTTAGGTCAGTTTCAGAGAAACTTAATTTACATTTATTGCTCCATCGTCAGATACCCATGGGTGATATCAATACCATCTTTTACTCATCACTCGTGGGTATCCGATGATGAAAAAGTCTAAAATTTTATATTTCAGAGGTTTGATAAATGCATCATATTTAAATGCATCATTTCCAAAATATTATTTAACAAAATAAGTTTAGAAAATATTTTCCAATCCATGCATTATATTTTTTGATTTGAAGCATGTGTCCCAAGAAGAGCAGAAAATAGACCTGACTTCACTGTAAGTCAGGTAAAAATAGGCTTGGGGCCTGAAAAATACTTTGAAACAAGCAGAGTACATGTTCAAAATTTCCAAAGGTTTTTTTTAAATCATTTATATAGAGAACACGGCCATTGCTTCAACATATTTGGGATATTCGACATATCAATCTGCATATCTGTGTTTGAGCTACATATACTAAACTTTAAGCATTTAGAAATGGAGACATTTCTTTTCCAAAATACATGTACATTTTTTTCCAATGCACTCTCGACTGATATATTTTATTGAAATCAATTTAGCATTGAAAATAAATTACTTATGGCTATTGTGTTATTTCATTTGAGAATAGATTCTTTGTACTGAAGATATAGATATCTGACACCTCATCCCCACCCTACCCAATTTCCTAATTTCAAGAAAAAGATATAAAGGAAAAATGACATAATTTTTTTTCTTAAAAGATGAAAAAGATATTATCAATAAGATCCCTGACCACTGGTAAATGGGGTTTTGAAATAAGAGTAAAGTTCCTATCATTTTGATTTTAATTAGAATTAAACACCAATAAATTGAGTTTTGTTTGAATTCCAACATAAGTAAATAAAGTACCTGAGTCAGGATAAAATTAAGTAAACAAGTAGATTTCATTTCCATTTATTAAAATCAAATGTTCTCACAAACTCTACATTGAAAGACTAGGTTGGTTGTGATCATTATGTAATGCACCACGACTGTTCTGCTTATTGGTAAACATTGAATTCCAAACATCTCAAAAATGGGTACATGGTTAATGTAAATAAAACTTAAAGAAAAAAATATACAAAACAAAATCAATTTTAATACTGTTTAAATGGAAGCCTATATTCATGAATTCTCAACTGACTCCATGCTTTGAGACTTCGAACTAAATTTGTGAGATTTTTCAAATTTGTCCATGTTGAGTACACTACCACTATATGAGCTTAGGTCTTGATCACTGTGCCCATCTCGAGACCAATTACTGAGTTGTTTATGAGCCCTGTGAGCTGATACTGAATTCACATGTCTTTTGAGGGCATTATTAAGTCTTTTGAATGTTGCTCCTCCCTCAGCTCGATCGAGGATTATTCGGCCCCCTACTCCAGTAGCCTCAATGCGAGCATCAAAATTTCTATCCAAGTTATTCATCACCTTCCTCTCATGAACCATTTCATCTATGGCTCTTGAAATCTTAGCATTACGTGTCTGAATTTGGGTACGACTCTCTGACACAGATTTAGTTGAATAGAAATTTGTTTCATGGTCTTTGGAACATTGAGATTTTGGCACATCACTTTCAGGTAAAGATTCTTCCTCTGGAATATCTTGATACTGAGCACGTTTCTTCTCCACTTTTAATTTGGCATTATGATAAATATTTGGACTGGATATCTTACAGTCGTCAATAGATATCACATTGAGAAGTCGATTGGATTGAGATCTCACCTGAATCATATCTTGATCATTGACATGGATCAGTCTTCCACGACCTTCCATCCTAGATATGCTGCTCAGAGTCTCCGATTCACCTTCGTCAGACACTGCTTCAATATTATCACTGGTGTGTTCTGCCTCTCCTTCACTGTTAAGACCATTGCTGGCTTGTTTGTGAGTTTTATCAATTTTGTCAAAAGCCTCAGTAGCCACATTCTCACCGTTGATTAGCTGTACCTGTTTTGTATTGATTTTCAATAATTGTTTCCCTAACAAGTTTCTTTGGTATAGAGCTCGCTCACCACAGTAGTGAAGTGATGTTTCAGCCAAATGATGGGTCACATCATCCAGATTAGTGTCGCTGTACAGGAAGTGAGGTTGACGGCCAGAACTGGCACTCCAAATTCGCTTACGGTCATTCACCTGATTATGAGTCCTTCCTGCTATTGCCGACCTAGCACGTTTGTTTGCTCGTGGCGTGTTTAGTCGTGGAAACTGTGATGACTTTGGTCTGAAGTTATTCCGAACGTTTTGCCTCCAGTTTTCAATCTGATGAAGTTTCTGAGGGGGCAAATAAGTCACAACTTTGGAATTTTTGTAAATTTGGCCATCTGCTGCTAGCATGTACATTTGGGTCCAATCCTGGACTTTGTTGTGATATGAGAGCACTTTGGCATCCATACTTGATTCACAATGGCAGTCTACACCCCTTACTTCTCCATCCTACCTCTGGAAATTGAGACAAAAAAGATTAAGATTTCTTTACACAGACTGGTAGTCTATTATTATTGTGTTGGAAATGTTTGCATGTGCAAAGATTAATTATTTATACATAAATCATTTTGAATGGTCAGGTTTTGGCCCATATCCAGGACTCCTGCCAGATTTGAGCTCCAGAATGTCACTTTTTTCCTCATTTAAAAAGATGACAAATATGAAACATTTGTGTATCCACTCACAGTGCAAACAGAGACTTCATTTGTAAATGGGCGGTCTGATCAAATTTACTAAGGGGAGACAGGTGACACTGGAGGAAAAATGCTGCCCTCCCTTTTAAGTTATCATTTATTTCACCTTTATATAAGGGTATCATATTTAATCTTCTGTCTTTGACAGGAGTGTTTGATCTAATAAATGAATTGAGCTCAAATAATCCCTCTTAAGTGCAGTCTTACTACTTTTAAAGTTCTCTTCAGCATGATTATTTTGATATCTCAATTAACAAAATCCAATTCTTTTGAATATCATAGATTTTTTCTTTTAATACAGAAAAAATGTCTAGAGAAAAAAAATGAATAAAAAAAAATATTTTAGTACTATAATTTCAAGCCTCATTAGGTGAGTTTATGGTGCTTGGCGATCTATTGTAACCCTCTCATGGACAATAAATTTTGAATTCAAATGAAATAATCTGTGTCAGGTAAAACCTCATAAACAAAAGAGCACAAAAGACTAAGAGAAGTTCATATATACAGAGCTATTATCTGTCTCTGTGCAGAGCACAGGCAGGGGTCCGAGATTTGAAGGCGAAAACAATGAGAATATACCTGTCAAGTGCCAAAGTACTCCAGTTTTATTTTACAAGTTTTATAGAATGAGATTATTTATCAAAATGTTCAACATGTCCCTTGCAATGTTTTACCTATCATCAGAAAAAGAAAAGATATAAAAAATGAGGTATTTACCTTGTGTTTTTTGTAGTGAAAGGAAATGTGGGGAATTGAACAAACACAGCTGATTAATCACAAAGATTAGGGATTAAATCATTCGTTATGTACAAATACAGAAAGTGATTATATATTGTTAATGGTGTATTTACAGAGCTTAAGGAAATACTGTATTTGTTAGGTAATTCAGACTAATTATTTACATGTACAAAGGTCATGTGCTGTGGTCATCCAAAAAAAAAAAAAAATGAAAAAAACTTACAGTCTAAAGATTTATTTTTAAAAAAAATTTCCTTTTATATCCAGTAGACTTAAATGTCTTAGTTTGAAGGCTGTAATCTGTTAGCCTCAATAGGTCATATCAGTGGACATTGGAATTCTAGAGCTGTAATGGTGTTTAAAGGAAAAATTAGTGATCCATTGGTTATTACGAGATTGATTGAATGATTTTGAACATGTTCTAGTGTCAATGAAAAGAAATTACCGAGTCTGATATAATGCTACTTGTATTTATTGTAAGAGGGTATTTAATTGTGTACATTGCAAAATATTTAGGCAGATTAAATTGTCCAAATGAGAAAGAGATATTTTCTGTTTTAATAAAATTCATATGTCTAAACAACTGATTACAGATTTATTCATGAACACAAATGTTTCTCTTGATTTTTAAAGTAGCCTTCCACTAAGATAAAGGTTCGAATGTTTACTGCAACAGAACCTACCATCACATGGTTATTATCAATATGAGGCACATTTCAAAGTCCATAGGATTATTTCAAAATCTGATTTTGTTTCATAAAGATATGATTTCATGGTAAAATGGGAACAAAGAATTTATCTAAAGTAGTACAACTGAAAAATCAAGGCACAGGAAAATTTTAGTCTTATTACTTCATAATATCTGATTTATGGCTAAATTTTAAGTCTTTTTAAATTTAAAAAATAAATCTTTTACTTTCTTTTTTGGAAGTTCCTGTCAATATTTATTCAAAACTGATTGGCCAGTTAATTAACTGTGAAATATTTTAAATATATTCTATTTCAAAGGCAGTCACCTAGAAAATTCAGGGTTTAGATATGATTTAAGCTTATTTGTGTAGAAGAGAAAATTAGAAATGTGAAAGAAATATTTAAAAAAGATAATTTGATATTACCTAACTTTTTGAGAATTAATATCGGTAAAGTTTTTTTCACTACATGAATTATAGACAGTGGATTTAAGAGAATACAAAGAATTGAAATTTAGTCTCTTTGGAATATAATATGATTCATTCAAGGCATTTGCATGCAATTAAAATATCAGATTGGTTTACATGATTAAAAAATCATGCCATGGAACCCAGGGTTAATTTACAAATAGTATGACATTGAGCTGGTTAAGACTGTTTAAAACTTACATATACTTGAGTTAGCATTGTAGTTCATGCGACCTTTGATGAAAATTATTTTAAATAAAGTCTTAAAATATATATTTGTTGATTCTTAAAAATTTTTAGATAGTTTTCTATATAATATTAATGTTAATCAAACTGCATACACATAATTTGAATACAATCATATTAATAACGATTAATTATCAATGAATTTTAAAAGGTATGTTATCCTTTCCTTTTTTTTTTTTTTTTTTTTGCTGTCTTTGAAAAGAATTTGTTAAAAATTCTTATCATTAGTGATATTTACTTAAAACTATTGATGACATATTGTTTAATTGATTAGATTCTTACCTCAGTACTTCATAATTATCCATTTGCTCTCCTATATACCCTTAGCCATTGTAAGAATAACAGTCTCAGATAACACTTAGGTTATTTACATACATTTGTTTAATCCTTAAGGGGTGCATCAAGTAAGAACTACCAGAAACTTTTTGAAACTTTAAAAGCTTATCTTTGCGGTTTTATCCAAAGCCGAAGCATTGGGTTTAAAATTCCTGATCATGCGATGAACCGTGACTTTGATAATCAGCCCGTGAAATCAATAACAGCTCCAAAATAGATACCAGAAAAAAGGCATTAAAGCCCAAACATAGTAGGTCTGCAGTTTAAATAGTGGAGAACTGTGATAGGGCAAATCCAGAGATTTAATTGTATTGATTCCACTGATTGGCTATTTTGCTCGTCATTGGACAGCAGATCCATGATACCACTTCGAGGAGTCAGAATTTTGTCGAGATCTATCTGTTTAGGTCACGGCATTAGTGTCAAAATAATGTGCAGAGATAAGATATTAAAAAACAAAGACATTAATATATCACAGTTTTTATTTGTAAATAATGTTTGTTTTGTGTGCTTTTTTGAGTGGAAAGGGGGGGGGGGGGCTCATTTTTTGCCAAGTAAATTAATATACATGTATTAATATATGATGTATATGGATATTGAAAATATTTACTGATATTCAGGTTATATTCTACTGCAATGAAAGTATCAGAGAAAACTAAATGTATGATAATTATGGCAAAGTTAAGTAACTAGTACTTGCTCAATAGTCTAAAGATACCTTCTGTTTTTTGCTATGGCATCCCATGCTTTTTAAAGATTATACTAAACAAGATAATCCTTTAATTGAACTAAATCCCATTTACTACCTGTGTGATAATAATTTTCTTTTTTTCCCAGCCTTACAAGGCCTGACTTTTTGGTAAAAAAAAAAAAATAAGCATTAGTTTTCACAGAAATGCAAAGTCACAGAAGAAAAAAACTTTTTTTTCTAAAACTCCTGACTTCCTTTCTATTCATCCAGAGAAATTTAAGCAGTGTATTGCATTACCTCTTAAAGGAGAGGAAAAAATTAAATGGTTGATTTAATTACAGAAAAGAAATCTGATAGGTTCTCAATTGAATAGTGAAAAAATTTCAAATGTATAATTAAAATAAAAACCTTTGTCAATTTAAATGTTTTGTGATATTATATTAATGGATTTATTTAATTTAAAGTGATATGAGGACAATGTATTTAAATTAGCATTGTTATTAGCATTGGAAAAGTATTACAGAACTATATGATGAAATTTCTTTGGAGAAATGATTTTTGTATAATAAGAATAGAAATGGTGGCACATATTTAGCAATTGAGCATTTGATCGCAGGTTACAATTCCATTGTTCCCTAGCCATTATAAGATTGAGAACTATAGCTATAGACTCATTTAGATCAATATCTAAACTTCTGTGTTCAATGTAAATTTACAAAACACCAAAACAATCTATATAGCCATGAAATTTTTTTTTTTACTGCACTTTGAATTAATATACAAAAATTATGACCCTGTGATGTTTTGTTTTGTTTTTTTTAGTATGCATTCATACAACATACGTGCCAACATCCTTCAAATCAATATTTAAACAAGGTCCACCAAGAATAGTCTTTGAACAAGATTTAATTTTTTTTAAAGTATAGATTAAATTCAAGTTTTTGTTACAGGTATTGATATAATTCTGGAGAGCTCTTTATTAACGGATTGGGGGTTGAATATCGGGTTTTACACATGTTCCTGTAAATTGAGAAAAGCAAGAACAACAAACTCTTAAGTTAAAGCATATTTTGATAAGTATTAAAAGGATCTGTGATTTAGTATGTCAAATGAGACTATTTAGAAGTCTGTTTAAGATTCTGGGATATCTTATATCGATCAAATTATACCTTTAGTATTCAAAATTTTTGCCAGTCTTACCACCATAAAACACTTCTTTTAACTGTAAATATAGGCAGAATTTAGAATAACATGTATAAAGGGTCACTGTATTGAAGAATATTCTGATCTTTTCAAAGACTTCAGACATTTTTGTCAAATATGATTACCTTTAATAAGCAGCTAGTGAACAGACAGATTCTTTGAGTCTCTGAAGTTTGTTAACTCCAGTTAAATTGATAGATAAGTTTGTTGGAAATTTGTAAGAATTCTGTTATGGCCATTGTCAGCCCAAAACAAGACGTCTTTGTGTTCGATGGAAAACATGCCCATCTGAAAGGCAGCATTAATTCCAGAGTTTGAATTTTCGACATGAAAATCTATATAAACAAGAAATGTTTGGGGACTTGCAACCATGTGATTTAATTCTGTTCTGCCATGCTTTATCAAGAATTGTTCCCACTACAATTAGTAAAGGGATTTGATTTCTATTCATTTCAGTTTGATGTTGATTTTCTCTCTTCATATTTATTGGCTTTGTAATGACCTCACAAAAGGAAGCATTCAGTAGCTATGAGAAAATATCCCACTCAGATGTTCATACAGCTTTGAATAAAGTTAACGTCATTTTGCTTACCGGGTACTTGTATACTTCAAACGATTATTACATGTACATATAGTAAGAAGATTTTTCTCATAAAATATCTAACAAAAATATTTCTTGATTGAGTCTTTTTCATAGATATTACATGTATAGTAATTAATTGGTACAGTACTGAAATATCTCTCAATCTAATGTTGTGTCTTTGGGCAAAGAGTCATCTTCGCTAGCCAAGGTTTTCTGATCCGCTACTCTCCTCATAAACTTATTACCCGGTATAAGAAGAGAAGCGGATCAGAAACCCTTGGCAAAGAGTGTACATGGGCCAGCAGAGGCCCTGGTCTATCTAGCTAGTCTGGACAAAAAACTTTTTTGCAACTGCAGCATTTGATCATTGCAAAAAAGTTCTTGAATGTGTTCCTGTGTTTCATTGATGTATGATAAGTTTTGATATGTAGCTTATAATAAATTGATTTATAAAGAAAAAATATCACTTAGAATATTTAAAAGAATATGTTTTCTATTTTCAGTTTGTTCGTTTCTATGGAACCTTGTTGCCTGCTTTTATGGTGGCTGTCCTATTAATGGGAGTTGTGCATCAACTCAGATGTATGGCAAAAGGTGAGATAAGTCATTTGCATACTCTTAAGATTTAAAAAAAAGGGTAGATAAGGCTCAAATATGGCCCCTTATTGGACATAATTATCAAACTATGTGGGTAAAAATTGTGATAGTTTCTAAGTAAGACTCTAAATTGATGCAAAACCATTACTGATTTTTATGCCCCATCATGAATATGACCAGGGCATAGAGTGTTTGTCATGTCCATCTTCTATCCTTCTGTTAATCTTTCATCCTTCTGTCCTTCCACCCTTTCATCTGTCACTTTTTTCATTTAGCTGAATTTCAAAGAAAACATTTAATTCATTTTTTTTTTCAAAATTCATACACTAATGCATGTACATAAGAGCTATTTAACTTTTTGACTTTGACCATGATCAAGACCAGAGGGCCATGATTAATAAGCAAGCTTTCTCAGAGAGTGCAGATTCAAGATTGGTTAAGTCATGACCCCTTCTAATGGTTCATGTTGTTTGCATTGTTTCCCCTTTATTTCAAAGTAAAAGGTTAGGCTATGGGTTGAGGTTTATGAACAAATCTCTGTGTACCTTAATTTTTAATTTTTGATTTCAAAGCAGCATTTTTATCAATTAAAGTGGTCAATTTGGCCAGTAGGTGGTTCTTAGGGAAAATACTGTATTTGTCCTGAACATATTGTCATGGGCAACAATATGCTCCTACCCTCATTGCATATATTTTTATCCATCAGCACATCTTGTCACTGGCTGAAAAAATATATGTACATACTGTATACATGGAAGTTTTAGCCCCTTGGGAAGTGGATGACTTTAAATTGGGGCAAATTCTAAGAAGACAGCATTATTTTTTTTTTTACACAATTTTATCTGGTAGGTATAAGCATTAATTCTGTTCCCACAAATCTTTCCAGAAGATGAAGCATTTGTATTATTAAAGAGGCTTTATGTAATTGAAAAAGTTTGTTATTAACTATGGAAGCAATTGTTGCAATTTTATTACTTAAAAATTCTTTTTTCCAGATGGGATTTGTCCAGCTTTATTAGATGCCATCTCAGACAATGGAAAGCCTTACTTCATTATACCAGTTGTCATGTTTCTCAACTTTATTTGTCAGTAAGTCTCTAGTGCATATGTTCACAGGGCTAGAAATAATTGTCAACATTTACTTGAAAGCTGGGCTATTGAAATTCAATTTTACTGGTCTCATTCTTCCTAGTTTACAGTGATGGGGTTTGAAAAAAAAAGGTGTCCAGCTAACCTAGAGGCAGTTGCATGTAAAGTTGAATCTGAGTTTTAAAGATATATATATATCTGATGGATAATGAATGATTTAGTAATTAAATTCTTTCTGATGAATTATACCACATTTAAAAAATATTACATGACCAGTAAAACTGAATTTCAATAGCCCAGCTGTCAAGTAAATGTTGACAAATATTTCTAGCCTTGTGAACATAAACAGTGCAACTGTACTGTAAGTGGCTAAGCAGAACCAAAGTTTTTCAAAATATCTGAACCATTAAATTCAGGAATTCTAATTCATTATAGGCAGTAATTAAGTTTCAAATGGTCATTTGTTTGTAAGGGGAAGATGTATTTTAAACCTTACTTTTTGTGAATATTTATTATTTTTCTGGAATTAATTTGCAAAACCATCTTGATCTAATCTGCTTTCTGATATTGTAAGCAGACAGACCTTAAAAGTAAAATTGGACAGATTTTTTGACAGAGAATGTAAGAGAAATGTATAATTTGTGATTCTTGGATCACTTACACTTCTTTGATTTTATAGTCTTTCAGTCATTCAGCAAATATTAGGAGAGAACAGTTCTCTATTGCCAGACACCAAAGAATTGACCAATCAGGGCCTGATGTTACGATCTTTGCCCTTGCTGCTGTATTTGATTGCCCTAGGACTAGTCAACTTCCAGTGTCTAGTGATTGACTTGGGAATGAAATTTCTTAGCCGTGTTGCTGGTCTCCTTTTCTCATGGTAAAATTAACTTCATTGCAGCCCAAGTTAGATACCATGGTTCATGTAATTTTGGACCACATTGAAATTCTCTAAACAAAAATATTTAAAACTTTCCATGATTACTGTAGAGTCTTTGTTAGGTGTGTTACTTCTCATTTTGTCTTTTAGCTCACCTGAGCCAAAGGCTCAAGTGAGTTTTTTCTGATCAAAGGGGGTGTCTAGTGTTCATCTGGCTGTCTGTGTGGAGTGTATAAAATTTTCACACAGCCAAACTTCTCCAGAATGACTGGGCCAATTTCAACCAAACTTGCAACAAAGCATCCCTTTGGTAGAGCAGAGTCAAAGTTGTTCAAATGAAGGGTCAAATCCCTTTTAATTGACATTAAAAAATAGTATAAATTTGGTGGCATATTCTACAGATCTTCTTCTCAAGAGTCGCTGGTACAGAAAAGATAAAACATATTTGAATTCTACCTTATATATATTGTACATTTAATTTTTTTTTTTCAATTCAAGGTCCATGGGGCTAAGATGGGGCAGCAATCGTGACTCACAGTTTATATAGGAAGTAATTTTTAAATCCTCTTTTCAAGAACTGCAGGGTCATGATAAGTGATGTATAAATAAGGAAGGATCACCGGGTAATACAGATTTAAGTTGTTTTTTATTTTTTTCAAATCATGACTCTCAGGTGTAGGGTGTGGCCACAATAATGAATAAAAGTTTTACATACAAACAAGTAGGAAACAAGATGTGTTTGTGAAACACTGATGCCCCCGTATGGCAGCTTATGGCGAAGGTTAAAGTTTCTTCAAATGCAAGTCAAAATCCAGGCCAAAAGATAAAAAATGTTGATACCCAAAGAAAGGTCTTGTCTCGAGGAATACACCTGTGAAATTTGAAAGACCTAGATACAACTGTTCAAAAGTTATGGCGAAGGTTAAAGTTTTTTAAATAAAAGTCAAACGTCAAGGTCAAAGAGTTGGTATCCAAAGGAAGATCTTGTCACAAGGATTACATATGTGAAGTATGAAAGCCCTAGCACCAACCATTCAAAAGTTATGGCCAAGGTTAAAGTTTTTCAAAAGTAGGTCAAACTCCTAGGTCAAGGTCAAAGGGTCAAAGTGGTTGGTATCCAAAGGAAGGTCTTGTCACAAGGATTACATATGTGAAGTATGAAAGCCCTAGCATCAACCATTCAAAAGTTATGGCCAAGGTTAAAGTTTTTCAAAAGTAGGTTAAACTCCTAGGTCAAGGTAAAAAGGTCAAAGTGGTGGTTGGTATCCAAAGGAAGGTCTTGTCGCAAGGATTACATATGTGAAGTATGAAAGCCCTAGCTCCAACCATTCAAAAGTTATGGCCAAGGTTAAAGTTTTCAAAAGTAGGTCAAACTCCTAGGTCAAGGTCAAAGGGTCAAAGTGGTCGATATCCAGAGGAAGGTCTTGTCACAAGGAATACACATGTGAAGTTTGAAACCCTAAGCACCAACTGTTCAAAAGTTATGGCCAAGGTTAAAGTTTTTCAAAAGTAGGTCAAACTCCAAGGTCAAGGTCAAAAGGTAAAAATTGTTGGTATCCAAAGGAAGGCCTTGTCACAAAGAATACACGTGTGAAGTTTGAAACCCCAAGCACCAACTGTTCAGAAGTTATGGCCAAGGTTAAAGTTTTTCAAAAGTGGGTCAAACTCCAAGGTCAAGGTCAAAAGGTCAAAATTGTTGGTATCTAAAGGAAGGCCTTGTCAAAAAGAATACACATGTGAAGTTTGAAACCCCAAGCACCAACTGTTCAGAAGTTATGGCCAAGGTTAAAGTCTCATAAAATTTTGCAAAAGTGGGTCAAACTCCAAGGTCAAGGTCAAAAGGTCAAATATGATGGTACCCAAAGAAAGGTCTTGTCACAAGGAATACACATGTGAAATATGAAAGTCATAGCTCCAACCAATCAAAAGTTATGGGCAAGGTTAAAGTTGACAACAGACAGACAGACAAACAGACAAACAGACAAACGGACAAACAGATAAACAGACAAACAGACAGACAGGACAAAAACAATATACCCCCGGGATCTTTCGATCCAGGGGCATAAAAAAAACTTTCAAACTCTTCTAATAACAGCAGGGTCATGATTAGTCATATTAGGGAAACATCCTCAAGTAGTGTAGATTCAAATTTCAAATCATAGCCCATGACAATATGGTTGGATCACAATAAAGGGTCAAAGTTTTAAATAGAAATATGTAGGAAATTAGTTTTCAAGAGCAGCAAGGTCATCCAAAATAATATTTTGCATTCCCAATGTGGAATAAAGTTTTGTTTTTCTTAATTACAGACCCTTGGGTTAGGATGGGGCTGGCATTAGGGGTCAAATCATATACAAAGGATGTATACAGGTGGAAAAAGTGTTTTAAAAAAAGTTTTTTCTCTCGAACAGCATGCTATTTATATGGAAACAGCCCATGTTGTAAAATATTTAAGATAGGTGAAATCATAGCCCTTTGAGTAGGATGGTGCCACAATATGGAGTTTTAAAAATAATCATATGATTAAAGAAGGGAATTTTTTTTTAATCTTCTGAAGAACAGTAGTGCCAAGTGACTCAGGTGAGCATTGTGGCACATTGGCCTCTTTTTTCTTTTTGCAAGACAGAGCTCAATGTATCTCAAGATATCTGAATACCGATACATGTGTTTAGTTTAATATGTTGTCCATACTTCATTTTTTCAGCTGTCCTGTGCCAGCCAGTAGTGATAGATTAGTACAAGTGTCCCTAGTGTTAGCCTTAGTGTTGTCTGGTGGACTCTGTGGTACACTTGGTCTTATTATCTGCTACTTCATTTGCATTGTTAAGGTAAAATATTATTTAAAACTGTTCTGTCTTAAATATTCTTTGTAGTATGTAAAAACCCCACTTTAATAGTAATTTTTTAAGGATGATAAAAATTTCCACTGTAAGTTGATGTCAAATTTACATTCTTCAGTATTTAGAAAACAGCTAGATATGTTTTTTATTTTCTACAGGTCCTGAGGACCTATCACATTTTACGTCAGAACATCCTGGAATCCCGCACACAGTCTCGCTATAATTTATACCTGACTGTTCTACTACTACTGATGTGGGTGACAGCCCTCAACTTACCCCCACTTATTGTGTGGCTCAGGAATATACAGTAAGCTATCTCAGATATATTTCAGATTCTGATACCAGAAATATGCCAAAGATTACATCAGATATACATTAGATCATAAACCTTTGTCTCAGAAATATTCAGTGAGTTAGTATCTCAGAAATTAACAGTGAACTTTTATTATCTCAAACGCAGATAGTGATTAAATATTAATATCTCTCAGAAATGTACAGTGTTATTATACTAAAAATTTATTATTACAAGTTGAGAACTTTACAATTTCAGTAAGATTAAATCAAAACAGTATACAATCAGTTAATATCTCATATATATACATCAGCACATCAATGATATGTGAAAAGTTCACATTGAGTAAATATCTTGGAAATGATCATTGAGGGAATTTCTCAAAAGTATGTAATTCATGGTAATACATGTAGACAATGAGTTAATAATATGCTTAGTAAGAAATTGAAAGTGAGTTGACACCTTGATATACACAAGATTTTTAAAAGTTAAATAAATAAAGAAAAAAGTTAAATAAATAAATAATAGATAAATGAGACAGTTCTTGTATGAATTATGTCTTATATTCTTCCCCCAGATATTTTATAACTCTGCACAATGACCCCAGTTGTCTGACAGCCATTATATGCATCCTGTTTGTTGGAGCTTTGTTTATATGTGATGATCCTCTCTCAGGAAGGTAAGGAGTATGTTAGCATTGGATGGCATTTATGTGAGCTGCTTTCTTTGTTAAAAGAAAATTAAGGACAAATGCCATACCTTAAGTCATCTGACAATGGAAAAGAAGTAACCCAAGGCACTTTAAGAAATGAATAAAGTTAACTCTAAAACTAAGCAATTTGCAACAATATTCATATCTATTTTTAATCATTATATTTTAAGCTTTCATCAAGATTTTTAAAAAATTAAATGTTAAATTATTTCTAAGTGATTTAATCTGAAAAATTGTCCCTCCTTTAAATCGGTACTGTTTTGAAAAATCACTAGATTGCTTTCTAACATTATTTGGAGGAGATCATACTAGGGTAATTAACTTTAACACTCTATGCTTTGTTACAGGGACCACTATTTTCCATCCTGTATAGCTGTGTATATTCTAACTGTCTTACTGGTGTTATATGGGACCCTGTCTACCTACAGAATATCCTACTTCATCACCTGTGCCCTAATTATGACTGCTGTACCTCAGGTTGTTAACAAAGTAATGTCAGCCCAGCAAAAGAAAGGCTCAGACATGTAGTGTTAAACTGATCTTAATGTAAAACTTAAGGATTTTTTGTTTTATTTTTGAAGAACTGCAATGATATCTAATCAGTTTGTAGTGGATGTACATGGTGCAAAGTTGAATAATTTGTATTTTTTTTTTTTTTTTTTTTTTGTGATTGCCAAAAATGATGATTACCCAAGACAATATTTTTATGATGGATTCATATTGGAAATACATATACATTATATTTATGACATGAGTGTATACTTTAATGTCATGGTTAGGTATTTAGTGGTACATTTCACAATAATTTCTTCCATTTTATGTCAATCTTATGTAAGGTATTGAGGATTGTCTAGACATATGACTTAGTGTTGTATTGAGCCCACATATGATTTGCACATTTGCACACATTCCAGTTTTGAGATCCTTCATTTGTTTACCACATGAAATGTGGATTTGTGAGTCTATTATTTTTTAATGCAACCAAAGGTGCAATATATGATTTTCATTTTGATATAACACAATTTTTTTTTTACACTTGACATGAAAACTAAGTGATGAAACATTTTTCTGAGAGAAAACTATGTCAGTAAATCTCTTCATAAGAAACAATGTCTCTTTTGTTATATTTTTTATTTAACCACTTCCTTGTTACAAACAAGTACAGTCAAACCTCATTATCTCAGAACTCGATGGGACCAAGAAAAACTTTGAGATATCCAAGGGTTCGAGATATTGAGGGTAAAATATATAAATAGAGAAAGTATGGTTGGGACTTACAAATGACTTCAACATATCCAATGATAAAAGAGATATGAAAGTTCAAAATAGCAAAGTTCAACTGTATACATGTATTTTGTCATTATGATATTTACCTCACCTGAATCATAATTATTGTTAAAATGTGTTCCATGTGTATCCTTGTCTAGCTGCAGAACTGTAGCATTTTAGTTCTACATTTAAATCCTTTACCATAACAAACGCTACAATATAAAACCATAACGCTACAGTTCTGCAGGTAATCCTTGTCATCTTTCCACATTTTCAACTTCTTCTCCAGGATCTCTGGGCCTGTTGCAATCAAACATTTCCAAAGTCAATAAGATTTTGTCCAAAGTGGAACTTTAAATTGCTACAAAAAGAACACACGCATTCTTTCCAGTATCATTTTTATGCCCCAGGATCGAAAGATCCCGGGGGTATATTGTTTTTGTCCTGTCTGTCTGTTTGTCTGTTTGTTTGTCTGTTTGTCTGTCTGTCTGTTGTCAACTTTAACCTTGCCCATAACTTTTGATTGGTTGGAGCTATGACTTTCATATTTCACATGTGTATTCCTTGTGACAAGACCTTTCTTTGGGTACCAGCATATTTGACCTTTTGACCTTGACCTTGGAGTTTGACCAACTTTTGCAAAATTTTATGAGACTTTAACCTTGGCCATAACTTTTGAACAGTTGGTGCTTAAGGTTTCAAACTTCACATGTGTATTCCTTGTGACAAGACCTTCCTCTGGATATCAACCACTTTGACCCTTTTGACCTTGACCTAGGAGTTTGACCTACTTTTGAAAAACTTTAACCTTGGCCATAACTTTTGAATGGTTGGAGCTAGGGCTTTCATACTTCACATATGTAATCCTTGTGACAAGACCTTCCTTTGAATACCAACGACTTTGACCTTTTGACCTTGACCTAGGAGTTTGACCTACTTTTGAAAAACTTTAACCTTGGCCATAACTTTTGAATAGTTGGTGCTAGGGCTTTCATACTTCACATATGTAATCCTTCTGACGAGATCTTCCTTTGGATACCAACCACTTTGACCTTGACCCTGACGTTTGACTTTTATTCAAAAAACTTTAACCTTCACCATAACTTTTGAACAGTTGTATCTAGGTCTTTCAAATTTCACAGGTGATTTCCTCAAGACAAGATCTTTCTTTGGGTATCAACATTTTTTATCTTTTGGCCTGGATTTTGACTTGCATTTGAGAAACTTTAAACTTCGACATAAGCTGCCATACGGGGGCATAGTGTTTCACAAACACATCTTGTTAACCACTATTTTTTTTATCACTCTCTATTGAATTTATGATTAGATCTCAAAGAACTGACAAAATGGAGTAAAAATTGTGAAATTTAAAGAACATTAATGTCACATCAGACGAGTGAATTGAGTTCAATATTGGATGACTGTGTCAAATGCTCAAATCAAAAAGACTCGCGTAGAAATACGTCATACTCTGAGGTTGCGCTGCATGTTCATACCATTGCTTGTAGAAATATTGACCACTTTTTTTCAAAGATAAACTACATGTCTCATAGTTTTATTTGTAGACAGCAAAGATAATGATAATGCCACATAGTTAGTCATAGTCATGCCGAAATTCTTAAGCTGTATAAACCGTAGAGAATGGGCAAAACCATATATCTAGGCGCTCCCCATCTAATTTCGTAAATGACGAAATGATAAACATACTAGTTCCAACCCCCTTAACTATATTAGTGGAAGACCTTTATCTACTTATAATTTGGTCATTTCCAAAATTAGATGGGGAGCAAACACAAGCAATACTGTTAAGTAGAAGACTTGTAGAGAAGAATTGTATTTGTGGGAAACGTAGTATCTTATGAAAACAGATTTAATTTCTAAAATTACTCCGACCATCTCGATTTTCTTGGATGACGAAGATGACGTATACTTTGTCTTTGAGAATAGCTAAGATTTGATAGTCCGTAGGAAGCAATTTCAGTTGGGGGGGGGGGGGGGGCACAACCAAACAATTTCATTGGGGGGGGGGGGCACTACCAAAATTCAAAAATTCCTTGACAAGCAAATAAAAAAAGTCTTCAAATGTTATTATTGAGGGGAGCATATAGTAACTATGTTTTCTATAGTATTCTATATATTGGCAAAATTATTGGGGATCACGCCCCTCCACCCCCCCCCCCGGTCCCCAGGGAAAAATTGTTGAAATTCCGAAACCTATATGCACATCTACAGCTTCCAAAATGAGATTGGGCTTTTGTGAAAAAAAAAACGTAAGAGGAGTTCAAAGAACCAATTATTTTTTGTTTTGTTCGTTTGTTTTTTTTTGGGTTTTTTTTTTTTATTTTTTTTAAATCTTTCTTTGACCCCCATTTGGCCCCCACATTGAAAATCAAAATTCTCAAATCTTAGTACACATCCCCAGGCTACTCCCAATTATACTCAAAAAAAATAAGGCCATTCCAGGTTTTTTCTCTGTTTAGTGTTCACCTTTTTAAAAAAAAACCTACCTACCTATTCGCAATAAACACACAAACCAAATAAGGAAACACAGACTTTATAGTCATAAAAATGATGTCATTCAAACGATTTTATCTCATTAATCTAGTTTTCTCGTAGAAAGATCTATTCTTTAGTAAAACCAATGTATTTAATGCTAACAATATACCTAATATGACATATTGTAGATAAATATTTAAAGAAATTGACAGGATTCAAAGATTTCGACCAGAATGATAAATTTCAGGACCCTGATTTTGTTTGGGTTTTTCTTCTGATATGCGGTGTCAAAAACCAAGGCGCACACAGACGCTAAACATAGAAAAAAAAACTTGGAATGGCCCAAATGGACTACTGCAAAAAAAAAAATGCAAGAGAATCTCGCAGGTTTTTGTATTAAAAAACTTTTGGCCCCCAGGACGAAAATTGAAATTCCGAAACCTTTTTTTGCACAACTACAGGGCACTCCCAATCATATTCCAAAATATGAATGCTATTGCAAAAAATGTAAGAGAAGTTCAGGGAACCAGGTTTTTGTAGAAAAAAACAACACTTTTTGACCCCCATTTGCCCGCCAGGGTGAAAATCGAAATTATTGCACGTCTACAGAACACTCCCAGTCATACTCCAAAATATGGATGGGCTACTGCAAAAAATGTAAGAGGAATCCAGGGAAAACCTGGGGGGTTTTTTTTTACCCCCATTTGGCCCCCAGGAAAAAAATGAATGTTTAAAATTCTGTTTGCACATGTTCAAGACACCAGCAATCATATTCCAAAGATTAGTTGGCTAGCTACTGCTTAAACATCGTCGCAAGCCACGGGTTTTGTGTCCATTCTATTTCCACAAACTATAATTCTCATTGAACAGACTCTTCTGATTCTCATCTGACTCTCTCCTCCAGAGAGGGACTTCATTGGTTATAAAAGCATTTATAAATATTCATGAGAACGAAAGAATTTCATATCACGCAGCCACTGGTTTGTGGAGATATTTACTCGGGTGTGCGTTATGACCCATGGATCTATTTTTAATATAATTATGTTATTTCTTCTTTCATTATAATTTCATTTTAATTTTTTAAAGAGGTTTACTAAAGTGTTGATCTATTTCGAATACAGGGGAAAGGGGGGATGTACAGACGAGCCAAACAAAAATGATAATCGCAAGTGCTGCTTTGTTTTACTACAAAAAAGTAAAGATTGAAAAACAATGTACTTAGCAGATTTTATAGAAATGTATCATCGAAAAGAAAAGAAAAAAATTAATTAATTAATTAATTAAAAAAAATAAATAAAATAAAATATTAAAAAAAATTATTTTTTTTTAAATCCGGAATTTGGTCCATTATATTTTATACTTTACATTTCCTCTTCGATATCCGATTTTGATCTTCCGTGTTTTCCAAATGATGAATATTGCCATATTTTCAATAATAGAGGGTACTTGCAGTTATGTCAGTCAGTGACCCCTTGTTGAAACGTCTAAAGGGTATGTAATAATACATTAGGGTTGTTCTTTTTCATAATAATTGCCGAAAGCGACTGATGTTGAAGATAAGTTATCCACCTCTTCAGCCAGTTCAGGTCCATTCCAAAGACTATTTCTACCTACGTAGCTACTTTTAGCTACCTAGGTATTTAAACCTACTCCAGGTAGCTATTTTTACCTACTTTTTGCTTTATTTTCATTTTGTGGCCAAACGCAGGAACGGTGCAATATGGTGAGCACAAAATTTCTAAATACAGTCACACTCAGGTCCAGTAAAATCAGTACATTTAGCTACGTAGCTAAAATTACATACCGTAGCTTTATTTACCTACCTCAGGTAGCTTTATTTAGCTATTTCAAGGCAACTTTTCACAATTTTGCTTTTTATTTTAAAAAGACAAAAAGTTCCAAGTAAACGTCTACTAATATTTATTCCAGGCATTATTTTAAAAAAAGCAATCTAAAGCAGAGATACTTTTAACATTGCTGCATTTGAACACTTTAAAGGAAAAGATGTATTTCCATTGCTTGAGTAACTGTATTCTCTATTGAGAAGTTGCTGGCTGAGAGTATTAAACGAGCCAGCAACTTCTCAATAGAGAATAGAGTAACTGTACACCACCTTGTGTGCGATGAGGTGTGGATAAGTATGATTACTTCACATTGTGCTCATGCAGGTTAACCAAAACTGGTTTTCTTTGTTATTTCACTCAAGAACTTACTGTTAGGCCACAAATTAACTGTTGTATATAGCCCCAAAACTTTTAGAACTTTGATTGCAATTGTGCAGAAAAAGACACATCTCCAAGAGTGATTTTTTCATGAATTGTTTTCAGATGAGTTCAAAGTTGAAAATTATCACTGCATCAAAGTGCAATTTTCTGTACTTTCTGGGAAAAATGCTAATTTATGAAATAAGTTTGATTTAGTAGCTAAATAAAGCTACTTCAGGTAGGTAAATAAAGCTATGTAGGTAGTTCAAGCTATGTGGCTAAATCCAGTGATTGTACCAGACCTGACACTGACGATGAATACGACAAAATTTTGGCAAAAAATGATTACTTTCTCACTCAACAATTTTGCATAAAAAAACTACATCCATTTTCATTTTTGGTAGCTAAGGATGAAATGAAGACTAAAATGACTCACAAATCTGTATCAATTTTAAAACTAATCTTCAAGAATTCTTATATGAAATGTTTTGGGGTGGTTTTTAAGAACCCTCTCTACACTGCACACTAAAGAGTTCTGATTTTATGGTATTTTTCTGCAGTTAGAGTGATCTGCCCTTAGATCTAAATTCCAATAAATAGAAACTACAGTATATTACTCAATTTGTAATCAATTCAAGTATTCCTAACATTTTAAAAGGCCAAGATAAATTAATTGAACACGTTATTTACATGTAAATTCTCCATGGAAGTATACAGCTGCGATTTCTGTTCACTGGTACTGTGCTGTGTTTGAAAATTTTTCCTGGGGGTAAATGCCACGTACCATATATTGAAATTAAATATATAAGCTCAATATTTACACCTTTATTCAATATAATTTTCTTGATGTCCAAAAAACATTTTTCACTAGTGTAGAGAGGGTCCTTAATGCATTTCCTCTCCATTCTCCACCCTCCAAAAATTTTCAAACTAACACCCCAAATTTTTCCATGCAAGTACACAAGATGATAAACAACAAGTTTGACCTGTTCTAAAGATGGGCCATAATTATTATTTAATATATTTTCAAAGACAGGTAAAAGTAGGTAGAAGTAGCTTCAAGTAGCTTTAAATCCCTAGGTAGCTATTAGGGATGTCAAAAATATTTATTTTCCTTAGTCGATTATTTGATTGCATTATTCGAACGGTAGTTGAATATATATTCAGAACATTTTTTGAAAATAAAATTTTATTTCAAACTTATCTGGTACTTGACGTATTTATAACTCAAAAACACACATTATCCACAGGACAGGTGCCTGTGATATTCTCTTAAAAAGTTAAATACTGTTTGTTCAATTTTTGATTGCCCCGGCAACCAAAAAAGTCCCTACAGTGTAAGCGAATTGTTTTAATAATTATCGAAGTGTCAAAACATGCCATACATTTGTACATTCTTAAAATAATAAAATATAATTGGTACATGGTATGAGATCAAGTCCAATTAATAATTTGCAAAGCCCAGTATGTTGCATAATTTATCACAAAACAACACAGGTAATAGACAAATAATTTTTACAGTAGTGAAGCATTTATAATTATTGTTACAGTAATTTCTACATGTATACAGTTTTGGTTGAGGAAAATATATTATAATTATGGACTGCGTTTGAAAAAATACGGTTTCTCAATTTTGAGATGAGAATTCCATCTTGTTTTCACATTTTTATGCATTAATTTATTCAAATGTCGTTTCGTTATTTGATCGTCGGTCCATTCGACTGATAGTCGAATAGTTGGCTATTCGTTGACATCCCTAGTAGCTATTAATAGCTACATAGGTAGAAATAGTCTTTGGACTGGACCTGTTCAATTGGAGTTCCATATTCCCCGAGTCCTAACAGCGGAAAACATGGGGCGTTACTCTCTAAATCATGTTTAATTTGTTTTTGATTTGAAACATCTTAAACATTTTTTTGTACTCTGAACAAAAAAGTGCAATCATCGGGTTGTACCATTGAATTATATCAGAGGCTTATATACTTAAACATTAAGTATATATGTCCCTGATTGAATGTATTAAATATTTGTGTACAATACGCCCTATGGATATAGCTCCATCACCTAGACACTTTATATGATAAGATATGCTAATGGTATTAAAACAATTTTATAGCTTTGTTTCTTGATCCCTTTTTTTTTTAAAACAAGAATGTAGGTTTTAACGATTGAACAGCTATTTGAAAAACATAACATAATAATAAGCTGTTTTTTAAATTCTTTTCAGGATTTGTTTTAGAATTCAGAACAAAGAATATTGTTGTAACAGATGATAATGAAGATCTAGCAAAATTATGTTGTGTGCTGGAGGAAATATTTCAAAAAGGAATTAAAAGTAAGTTCTGTACTGTAGGACAGAATACTTTTACGGTGGACTCTAAAGTAATAAATGAAAAGTCAGACAATGTGCTCATCTGTATTGTGTAATTCTAAATTATAATTTTTTTAATACCATTTCAATGTGAATGTCAATATCTTTTTCAGGAAAGAAAATAGTTTTTAAATATATGGCAAATTTGATTTTTTTTCTAGAATCCAGATGGTTTGACAAGAGTGACTTTTTCTGGTCTTGGGTGGCAAAAATACCATCTTTTTCAAAGGAAAGGTAATTTTTTTAAGTAAATATTCTTACCAAGGATTGCATTTTTTTTTTACAGGATTGTTGAAACAGTACCATGTAAATATATATATATGCAAACCCTTGATATATACCCTTCATATTATTTTTGTATTGTTGTATATACAGTATGTATTTTTTTTAGATGCAATCCAATACTTTCGATGGTAATTGACACTGTCAAAGACTCAAAGAAGGTTGGTTTTTAAAATTGCAAATTTAAATATGTTTCTAGTTTTTAAATCACCTGAGCAAAGACTCAAGTGAATAATGTCTGTCTGTCCATATATGTCTGTTAACTTTTTCCATTTTCTCCAGAATCAATTTCAACCAAACTTTGTACAAAGTATTCTTGGGTGAAGGGGCTCAGAGGGTTTTTTTCACATGAAGGACAGTCCCCATCCAAGGGCAGATAATCTAGAAAAGTCAGAAATAGGATGAGATAACTAATAAAAATCTTCTTCTTAAGTAGAGCAATAGCAAGGCCTTGGTCATGATGATTCGTTGTATTGATATGAAAGCATCTTCAGGTAATGTAGAGTCATATTTGTTTAAAATGTGGTCCAGGGAATAGGGTAAAGCTACAATAAGAGATCAGGTTTTTACACAGGAATATATTAGATTTGTTAAAATTATGGTCCCTGGGGCGTGGGTTGCCTAGAATGGGTATAAGATTTTTACATGGGAGAAAGAGGAACTTTAACAAAAGAACAAATTGGAGAGTAGCAGGGCAACACTAAATGTTACTGATATGCAAACATTCCCAAACCTTGTGGATTCAAGTTTGTTTGGAATCATGGACACTGGGTTTATGTTGGGGCTAAAATTAGGGATCAAATATTACAAATTACATCTACATGTATATAGGAGAAACATTTTCTCCATGACAGCAAGGCCATGTTATTCGTACTGATAATCAGAATCTTCCTGTAGTGTGGATACAAAGGTTAAGTCATGGATCCTTGAGGTTAGGTTGGGACCACAATGTGGGAGAAATTTTTCATGGGAATAAAAAATCTCTTAAAGATTTTTTTCTAGAGAACAGCAGGGCAAAGGTGAATCAGGTGAGCATTGTGGCCCATGAGCTTCTTTATTTATTTTGGATGGAACTTTCATTGAATAATTTAAAATCAAACATTAGTGTGTCATTGTAGAATGTTGAAAGATATATTTTGTTTTGCAGGCTTTGGGGGAGTTTCTTTAATCATTTTGAGTAATCATGGTTATTAATGCAGTGATTTCATTTTACATATGAATAATTGTGATTTGTGTGCAGTGAATCATTTGATTTTTTCATATTCCAGGTGACACATGATCTAGGCCGAGGTCGTTTATTTATCCGATCAGCATTGATGAAGAAAATGCTGACGGTACCAGTACAAATAATCTCCAAAAACCGACAGCTAGCTAAGGTATGACGGTATAAGGTTTATGTTTTACAAATAAAGAAACTTGCCAAAATATGAGTTAAGTTAGGGTTGCATTTAAGATCAAAGTGGCTACGTAACTGTATATAGAGCTATGATCTTGGAACAGCATGCTAGCCTACCCAATACATAGGGTTAAAAAGTGTTATTTCATACAGTGCCTTCAATAGACTTGGACTGCTACAGTCTTGAACACAAACAAGATAAGACACATTGGCTGTAACTAATTTGTTTTTAACATTTTCTGTTTATCAGTGTAGCCCAATATATTGATGCCATGAAATCTTGAAGCAATACTTCATAATACTGTGGGTATTTTATGAATGTTTGCTCCAGGCTCTATAAACTTTATTTTCTAAGCCAGGAGTTGAGATATTTTGGTCGCAAATCAGTTGATCTGCTGAAGGGAGTAGAGGTTTTAATGTACTTTGGCTGATAAATATTTGCATCCCTCACATTATTGCTTGGGAATGTTCAAAAGGATTGCAAAAGGATGGGTTCAAACAACAAAATATTAGCATCCCACCAATGATACTAGTGGGGTTTTTAAATTTTGTGGAGGCAGTCCATAATTCATATGCTATGAACTTTGTAGTCTTTAGACAGTAACAATCCTTTTTTTTTTTTATTTTCACAATAACTCTGTTTAAATGTTCAAAATATTGTACAATACCAGCAATGTCAGAAATAATTTATAATTATCAAATAAAAAAAATGTTTTAGATATTTATCACATTTACTGTAACAGTCTGTTTTGATTTCAACCTTTTGATTAGGTAAATTATAGATAATATAGTTTTGTGATTCGGTTACAGGAAGTGTATTATGAAAATGACAGTATTCTGGGGAACGAAATTCTTGCAGGTATGCTTATTAAAAGAACTAACGTTATTTTTTATTTAAAAAAAAGTCACTGCATTGTTACCTTTAATCTTACCTTCAAGTATATAGGCATTGTTAATTAAAAGCAGAATGTTAAAGAGGCTCTGTGATGCAATTTCAGAAAAATTGAAAGAAACAGAATCTTTACATGGCTCAGGCAAATTTTGTTCAATTCTTGAAAATACTAGGTTTTATGAAATTGCAGATTTCAGAACCTAAAAAAAATCTAAGAAATGATTATTGTCTGGCCCAAAATGAAAATATTGCTTTGCTTCTCTTGCCTGATTATACACTTGCACATTACCTCAAGTCCCAAGAAGAGGAATATCAGTAGACACAGATTTTGAAAGAATCTGTGAAAAAGATAATCTAGAACATTCTCTACCTTTGTATTCTTTTATACAAATTTTACACTATGAATAAAGTCAGGTGACATTGACATGTTATACAAAAGCAAAGATGAGATTGATACAACCTTTGTTATTCGTCACTTGCACTCATGATTGATTTACAATGCAGTTGTGGTTATCTTTTGATTTGATCCATTAGGTATCGTAAGAAAATTTTTTTTTATTATTACTCAATATGTCTCTTAAAAAAAATAACTTAGTATCATATTTCAAAAAAAAAGCATTGTATGTGTATAATCACTGTACTGTTATCTGTGAACTTTCAGAAATTCTACAGTCACTTTTGTTTGAGTTGACAGAGGCAAACTTCCAGCTGAGAATTCATGTAAGTTTTCTTGTATTTTTTACACAGATTTGCACAAGCTAGTGTTAAGCACTTGTTTTCATTAGTGATATCATAACAGGATCCTAAAGGTTGTAGAAATATTAATTTCTATCAAATTATACATCTAGTTACTGTAGAACACCAAAGAGTTGAAATTATGTGTTTATATTCTTTAATTATTGAATAATTCAAATATTTATCATTTTCAGAATGCAAGTTTCCTGGACAAGACATGGAATTTGCCTGTAAGTATGTGAATATACATGTAGATTTCAAATGGGGAAAAATAATTTTCTGGGAGGAAGGAGGAGGTGTTCCGGGACTGTCTGTCCAACATGGGTCTTGGTATAGGGCCAAAGCTTTACACAGGAAGATATTGATAAAAACCATCTCAAAAAGAGTACAAGTATGCAAGAATCCACATGTAGTTTGTTCTAATTTTGTTCCCAGATAGGATGTAGCCACAATCTGGGACCATTGTTTCACATAGGCATATAGACAGAAAATCTTTTAATTTCTTTTTGAAGAGCACTGGTACTAAAATTAGTCTAATTAATTATTTAATTAATCTACACTCACTGTGGTGTAGATTCAATTTATATCATGGCCACCAGGGTTTAAGTAGGACCACAGTTTTACAAAGGAATATATGGGGGAAGTTTTTTGGATTTATTTTTTTTTCTTAAAAACTTAATAATCAAATTGATATGAAATAATAATGCATATATTGTGTCTTTTACTTATTTTTTCAGGTATTATGTGAAAAAACAGGGGGTTGGGGGGGGGGGGGGGTTCATAGATTTATTTAAAAAACATAAATTAGAAGTATTCTTTCAAGTAATTTAAAAGAAAAAAGGCTAAAGTTAATCTGCTGAGATCCTGATGTAGCATAGATTTGAATACATGTATGTGCTTATATAGTCATGGTCCCTGGAGTCAGACTGGGCTCACACTTGGAGGACAGTGTTTTACACATTAACAATTTTTTAATCAGTTGCAATTTACATTTGATATTAATATACTAGAGATCTAAAATTTTGAAAACACGTTTAAATATAGGACCACAATAAGAGTTTAATGATACATATATTGATTTGTCAAAAGGAGAGGTGTGACCCCGATGAGCAATGTGGACCATGGGCCTGTTATTGAGTGATTTAGTTGTCAACTTTTTTTCCTCTTGTGTGATTTCAGATTTACAGGCAGTATGAACTTGTACCTTGTGACAACCTTGGACTTCATGTGCAGTGAGTATTTTAAAACACAGTTTTTAGGCACATTTTACTAAAATATGAAGTACATGCAATTTTCACTCAGAGATTTATTTTGTTTGTTTTCTAATTCATTTAATATTTTAATAGATACATCAATGGGTTTTTATTGGTGAAAGCTGTAGAACCAGGGAGTGTAGCAGAAGAAAATGTAAGTTTCACAAACTTAATACTGACACATGATCTTCCTTCCTGGCTTCTCACTCTGCTTCCAGACTGCTTCCTAGCTCCTACTCCATAATCTGCCTTCTAGCTCCTACTCCTTACTCTGCTTACTAGCTCCTACTCCTTACTCTGCTTACTAGCTCCTACTCCTTACTCTGCCTTCTAGCTCCTACTCCTTACTCTGCTTACTAGCTCCTACTCCTTACTCTGCTTACTAGCTCCTACTCCTTACTCTGCTAACTAGCTCCTACTCCATACTCTGCTTCCTAGCTCCTACTCCTTACTCTGCTTACTAGCTCCTACTCCTTACTCTGCTTACTAGCTCCTACTCCTTAGTCTGCTTCCTAGCTTTCAGACCTCTTCTAGTTCCTACTCCTTACTCTGCTTCCAAACTGCTTCCTACATGTAGCTCCTATTCCTTTGCTTCCACACTGCTTCTTAGCTCCTAATTCTCACTCTTATTACTAGCTCCTACTCCTTACCCTGTTTCCAGTCTGCTTCCTAGCTCCTACTCCTTATTCAGCTCTATCATCTTTTCCAGCTCAGCCCCTTCCTTTCTTTCTCTTTCCTTCTCTTCACTCTTCTTTCTTCAGACCCCTTTCTCATTCATAGTTTCTTTCTTCTAGACCTCATTTGTGACTCTTTTCTTTTTCCATTCCTCTTCAGTCTTTTTCTTCCCTGTTCATGATTCCTCATTCCAGATTTCCCCTCTTTACAGGATTTTTTCCCACTCCTTTGTTCCTCCTCCTTCTACTCTTTTATTCCTGGCTCTTAATGCCTCATGACTCCTCATAACTCCCTCATGACTCCCTTTTCCATCCTTTCTGACTCCTACTACTTGTGTAAAATTGTAATAACAAAAGTTTATATTCTCCATGTACGTTCTCCTTCAGGACAAAATCCATGCAGGTGATATTATTGATGAGCTCTGTGGTGAGACACTAAGAGGAAACAAAATGTCTGCTGTAAGTCAGGTTTTTTTTTTTTAAATTTTTACACACCGATTATGAAAGTTTGAAGAAATGAAATTTATTGATGTTATTTATGTGATAATGAATGTCATATATATACAAATAAATCTTTATTGATATGAAAAATTTACAGGCTCACAATATTCTGCAAAAATACAAAGGTCTTCCTCTGCATGTCCATGTAGTCAAGGTATGATTACATATTGCAAATGTAAACATGTAGAGTGTGAAAGTTGAAAACTTGATATCTTTGGTTGTTTTGTATGTTTGCCTTTAAAATTTATAGAAAAAAAAATTTCAGTTAAAATATTTTTAAGATTAAGAATTTCTCCTTGAACTCATGTAATATACTGTGTAATTTATAACAGATATGCTTCTATTTTTTTCTTTTATGTATACTCCTAGGGATTTGATAGCCAAGGTAATTTGTACAAACCAATACAACACCTGATAGAGGATGCAGACATCGACATCACCACCGCAGAAGAACTCCTACAGATCAAAAAGAGTTCCAGCAACGGCTACAAGAAACCACCGCATACCATACTCAGTGAAGAAGATGCCGAGGAGCTCCCAGTCCATGGCTCAGAGGGAGGGTATGCTACAAATAAAATACTGTAAACCAATTATTATATCCGACAACTCCTATTCTTCATTAGTAATTTTGAAAAACATCCCACAGTTATTTTAAAATTTTCATGACTGAGAAACATATTGAATAAACATACAATCAAGTAAATTGTCATGGTGAGAAATCTTTGTGAGTAAAATAAGGTCGCAAATTTCTAGCAGTTGAATAAAAGCTGGTTTCATGCAGGTACTGCACACAACCTTAGCTAACTCTCCCTGCAGTTTAATTTTTCAAAATAGTACAATGCAGCAAAAAATTACACTGTGAAAAATTTTTATATGTAATAAATATCAGGGCCGTGTCTAAGAACATTGTGGCTATGTAGAGCTACGTAGAGCTACAAAGATGCTATGATTTTCAGCATAGTTAAAAATGTTAGTACATGTATTAATACTAGATTTGCTTGAAGTGCCTATTTGCATATGATAGGAATTGTATCTCTTTTATTGAGTTTTATCAGCTTATCCTTTTTCAGGGCAACATATGAAGCCCATTATCTCGGCTATGTTCCACTTGGAATAGTAAGTATTTTTAATAAACCTCTTACAAAGGATTTAAAAAACTAAACTGCAATATATATCGAGATATATCACCAAATTTAGCTTCATTGTAGATATATTAGACAATTATAAGCTTAAAAAATTCTAATGATTTGAAATAAACAACCACTTAAGTTTAAAACTTAGGGGTAAACTTGGGTTTATTTACTATATACGAATTTTGTCAATATCAGTTACAAACAATAATGACATTCCCTTGTTAGGATGGAAGAGTGGTCAGAATTGAGGATTCTGTTCTGGGGGTACTGAGGAACCACACCCAGAGAGTGGTAAAGTTTGATGTTCTCAATTACATGTATATTGGGAATTTAAAAAAGTGTTGGAAAACAATACTCTGTGTAAAATGTGAAAATGTTCTGATGAATATAATTTGAATCATTTTCATTGGTAGCCCGTGAGGATTGAACTTACAGAGAAAGACGTACTGGTTGTTGACAAAAAAGATGACAAGGTGAGGTTGTTTTGACATATTTTTACATACCAGTACTCATAAACTGGAGCATTTGAAGCAATGCTTCTATATGTATTTATTATCAACTAACCTGAGCCAAAGGCTCAAGTGAGCTTTTCCTTCTGTCTGTCCGACTCTTTTCATATTTTAAACTTCTTCTAGAGTTCAAGTTCAAATCATGATAACCAAGGATAGGACAGGCCTGAATAGGGAATCAAAGGTTTTCATGGGAATTTTTATGGGAAAATGTTTAAAAATCTTCTTCTCAAGAACAACATGGCCATGATTAGTTATATACCTAAAGCAGGTATCCCCAGATAGTGCAGATTCAAGTTTGTTCAAAGCAAGGCTCTTGTGGGTGGGATGGGGCCACAATAGGGAATCAATATTTTGCATGGGTATACATGTATATAGAAAAAATTAGGGATGTCAAAATATTTAATTTCCTTAGTTGATTATTTGATTGCATTATTCGAACGATAGTCGAATATTCAGAACATTTTCTGAAAATAAATTGTATTTCAAACTCCACTGATACATGATGTATTTATAACTCCAAAACCCTTATACTTCAATCTATTTAAAAAGTAACATCAAAATTAATGCACCATAATGTGTGGATAGCATGATTATATGTAATAAATTTAGAAACCTAATCTCTATAATGTATGATTTCCATGTCAATCAAATTCATAAATCGGCCTGTATATGCCGTCCTTTTTTATTTTAATAAGCATTAAAAAAAATTGCCAGCCGATATTTTTTAAAGTTTATTATGAAATAAATTGGGGGGGGGGGGGGGTGTTAATCTCGCACTATCCACATGTCAGGTGCCTGTGAAATTGTTAAAAAGTTAGATACTGCTTATTCAATTATTGATTGCTCTGGCTATCAAAATGTCTTTAACACTTTAAAATGAAAGCGAATTGTTTTAATAAATATCAAAGTGTCAAAACATGTCACAGTTATGGTTTGTTCCTTGCGTTCGAATAATCTTAAAATAATAAACGATAATTGGTACATGATATAAGATCAAGTCTAATTAATAATTTAACAAACAAAGCCCAGTATATTGGTGGGTAATTTATTACAAAAACAACACAGGCAGTTACTGACAAATAATTCTTGCAGTAGTGAAGCACTATTAATTACTGTTCTTTCTATACGTACATGGAAAATCAACCTTTTTTTGTTGAGGAAAGACGGTTTCTCAATTTTGTGATGAGAATTCCATCTCTTTATCACTCTATTATATTAGATTTTAAATTTATTTTATATAATAATATTCAAATGTCATTTCATTATTCGATCGTCGGTCCATTAAACTGATAGTCGAATAGTTAACAATTCGTTGACATCCCTTAAAAAAATTCATTTTTTTTTCTCAAAAACTTCAAGGCCATGATTAATGATATGAATAAGCAAACATCCTGCGGTGATGAAGATTCAAGTTTGTTCATATTGTGGACCCAGGAGGGGTAGGAAGGGGCCACAGTAGGAGATCAAAGCTTTACATGAGAATGTACTGAGTATAGGAAAAAAATATTTTAAAAATATTCAGTAACAGCACGTCCATGATTAGTCTAATAAATGTGCAAACATCTTTATGTTGTGCTAGCAGATTTCAGTTTGTTTAAATTTTGGCCCATTTGGAATGTTGGGGATACAATAGGGGATCAACGTTTTTTTTATGGGAATCTATAGTAAATTTATGAAAAAAATTCTTTGAAGAATTAGCAGATCCACGCTAAATTGTTTTCATATTCCAACATTCCCAGGTTGTGTGCAATAAAGTTTTTTTTCTTTAAATTACTGACCCTAAGGTTAGGGTAGTGCTAAAATTGGGGATCAAATTTTACCTATTGCATGTATACTGGCAAAAAAATCTATGCAGCAGGAATGCCATATTGAAAACAAAGCATCCAAGTTTTAAGTTGTGTTATGTCATGACCCCTTGTGGCTAGGGTTGGATCACGACATGGGGACAGAATTTTTCATATGCATAAATGGGGGGGGGGGGGGGGGGGTTAAAACCTGAAGAACAGCAGGTCCAAGCAACTCAGGTGAGCTTTGTGGCTCATGGTCCTGTAGTTATCTAGTTAATGTGCACTTGATTAGTAGACAAAAAGCTGCGTGAAAGGCACTGAAATATGATTATTGATAAATTAAGTATCTCTTATTTGACAAAGGAGAAAATTAGTGTTTAATATCAAAACATTGATGTTTTTACAATGTTTTTTATATAGATTTTACTGCAGCATGGCTACACAGAAATTTCAGCTTGTGGTCGAAGGACAGACCAGCTCCAACATATTGCTTACATTGCAGGGTGAGTTATACTTATCCACACATGAATGAACTTTTGTTTGTAGTTCATGTTTATTTCTGGTTATTTGTTAATACATGTACATTGTATATGTATATTAATGAATTTGAGCTTATCTATAACTACAATGGTAAAAAAAAAAGATAGTGAATTTCTAGTTTATGCATGCATTTCTATGATTTCTAACAATGGAATAAAACACATGTTGTTTATAGCAAACATAGAGTAAAAACCTACTCATAATGAGGTCATTATTTTTCCTTCAGCAATAAAAATATATGGAAGCCATTTTTAAAAATATTTGTTTAAACAAAAATTGGGGGGGGGGGGGGGGAGATCTTTATAACTATATTTTACAGTACCAGTCTTTGAGAATATATTGATGGAAAATGGATTAACATAATTACAGTAAAGCAAGCTTACAGCAATCACATTTACAATGAATTGACTTTTACAGCGGAGTGATTTTTATTCCCAGTGCCTCTAAAATATATTGTGAACTTAATGGATATAATGAATTATGTTTATATAATGAAGCAAAATTGTCCATCCCTGGCACTCCATTATGCATATGTAAGTGTCTTATAACTGTATATTCCTTCACAGAGAAACAACATGCAGCCTAGCCAAAAAGTTCAACTGTTATGTTTTTGAAGCAAGAACAAATGAGGAGGTAAGGTTTTAAAATGCTGCATTATGTACAATTTAATCCACACACTGAAGGGTAGTCATTATTTTAAATAATCTCTCTTTATCTTTTCAGGCTCGATTTGCTCTCTGTGCCATTGGTAAGTTGCAGGATCTTGTATATCTTGAGTTTGGATAAATATCCCCAATTACTCTTGAATAATTTTAATAAAGATCAGGTTTTTTAAAATCATTTTTAGAGTTTCTTATGCATAATTATCCCTTACAGTTGCAACGGAGTCTGATAAAATTCATTTGGGATTAAATTTTTGGGAAATTTCAGTACTGTTGAAATAGTCATAATAATTTGAATATGCCATGAATAGAGCAAAACTGAACCCCCCCCCCCCCCAAAAAAAATCAAATAACACTAAACATCACCAAAACAAATAAACAATCTCTTTCCATGTGTTTGTAAATTGATTATCTTATTTCAGCTCAAGGTTTTGAAAGAACACACCTGCTGTTGTGAACAAAGAAAAACAATTGTGCTTCCACCCAAAATATATTTAAACTTTTTTCTATTTTTGTTACTTGTTGCTAGACTTGGTTGTGGTGTATTGTTATATTTTGCAATATTTAATCTTTTTATCTATTATTTTGTGAAAATGGTGCTTTTTTGGTTTTTGTTTTTGTTTCCTGTTATTAAAATGATTTATTGACATGGTTAAGAGAATATATTGACCAGGAATGTGTTTGATTTTACATATAATATAGATGTCAACTACTCTCCTTAAATGTGTACAACAGAACAAGCAAAGAAAAGTTTTCTTCCATATTTAGGTTTTTTTTTATTAAAGGTTGTCTGTTCCTGATTTATTTGCTTGCATGTATATTGTGTTTGTATTTTATCATTAATAAGAGAAGTATTCTGAAACAAAGCAACAGTTTTGTTAGAATCAGTTGTCTACTGGAGCTTAAATGACATTGCATTTATAAAGTTTATTCAGTGCTTGTAATCTGTCCTCAAATCATAGGAATCAATGCAATACCCAAGTCACACAATTTCACATTGTATTAAAGAACAAGCCAATGTTATGTATCTGCTGATAGAAGTTTTATTTATTTTCATATATTACAGAATTTTAATTACTGTATTATTTTCATTGATGAAATACCTATATATATATGTATGTGAAAAGCATTCATATGCTCAAAAACTTCAAGTTTTGAATAGCTGGCAGGTTTTCTCTAGTTGACAGTTGGTACATGAACTTTGTATTAACTAAATATACACACAATGGTGGTTGTAAACAACATACAGTTGAACTTCGTTATCTTGAACACAGATAACTCAATACCAGAGATATGTCAAAGTGAGTTGGCAGTCCCAACCACGTTTTTTTTTTTACTGTCCTTATCGTGAATCCTCAGATATCTTGGGGTTTAATCTTGGTCCTGTCAAGTTCAAGATAATGAGGTTTGACTGTAATATTTTCGGTTTTATGTCCTTGGGCTTGAAGGATCTCACTGAATCTCATATATGTACTGAAGTACAGTTATGCACAAGAAAACTTAATTTTCAAATATGTTTAACTTTTACAATTATGACATTAAATGCACTCATGATAAAAGGTTATGACATTTTTGTGGGATATTAAGAATATTCATGTAGCAATATTTCACTTTATATTAAGAATACGTGCACTGTTTATATGCTAGTATGAAGAACTATTGTTACATATTTTTTATATATTTAAATCTTTTTGAAATGTTGATGTTGTATTTTAATTGTTATATGAGAATCAATATTGAAGAAAATCTTTAAGGTGCTATAAATGTAAGTTATTCTGCAAGCATGAGGAAAAATATTCAAAATGAATTGGGGAGAAAAAAAATTCTTCCATAATCTTTTTTTTTACATGCAAGCAGATATTTCTTAAAAGTGAAGGTTGTAATTAAAAGTAAGAAAAAATTTGACTGAGCATTTAGTGAAGGAAAATAAGAGGCAGATCTGTTCAATTAAGCATATACAATGTACATGTACTTCAAACGTACCTGTAATTTTAGCACCTTTCCCTCTGCTCTTTATCCAATAATTCAGTGCTTGTACACACTAATTTATGATTAAAACTAATACATGTCCTTTATAAGGCTCAACCATGTGCCCATTTAAAATTATTTTTATCAGATGAAGAGGAAAATTGCACTAAATTTAGAGTGCACTACTGGTATTTTATGCATGTTTGCAGTACTTTATTTGATAAAATAAAACACTTAAGAACCAGTCCAAAAAATATCAGAAAATCATGCACAGATCAATTCAAAAATCTCTCTAATATAGAAATGAATCCATTTCATATTTTTACAGGATGAAGAAAGCATAATTATATATATTTTACAGACTTTCATTCGTATATATACATGTATAATTTTACATTTGTTTTCTGTACTCTAGTTGATTGATAATTCAGGTTTTTGAAGCTCATTTTATTGCAATCATTCTTAATTTTCCTAATTGAAAACAAGGATTTTATCAATTTTTTTACATTTTGGTAGTTTTATCTTGTAAGCAGAGACAATATTCTTATGCTGCAGACATTCATGAACAAAGATATAAACAGGTGACCTTTGGTATTTTAAACATTGATATATCAATTACCATGGATATTCGGAGTTGAACAGCCAGTAATTTAATTTCAAAAGGGGTGAAGGGAAATGGTATAAATTACAAATTGAACGAAAATAGACTGTTTTTGTTGTACTTGTTTAGTGCATTCATTTCTTCCAATTATCAGGCATTCCTATTGTTAGAGTTTTACTTGAGTTTTACAATTCACTTGTATCACCGACTTATAGTGTTCAACAAAATTTTCTTGTTACTTTATTTATTTTTGTTGAGGGATGACATGTATTAATTTATGTATTTAATTAATAAAATTTGTTACAATCCAGAAATTCTTGCAATGTTTAGTCCAAACACAGTTGAACTTCAGTATCTCGAACACGGATATATCGAATATCATGGATATGTTGAAGTAATTGGGAAGTCCTTACCACATATTTCTTATTAAAGTATTTTACCCTTGATATATCTATTCTTCGGATATCTCAAAGTTTTTTCTTGGTCCCATCGAGTTCGAGATAACAAGGTTTGACTGTACATATGATAGAGAACTGGGGAAGATCTAATAATATAGAATAGATCAATAATCCAAGTCAGTTACAGGTTTTGACAATACTTTGGACACCTAAGAATGCGGATTATATATATATATATATATATATATATATATATATATATATATATATATATATATATATATATATATATATATATATCCCTTCAAAATCTTTGATTGAATTAATTTATCTCCCTTTTATCTGTGATGTTTTATTCTAATTTTGGTTGCACCTGGCCCATGTGTTTTGGAAAAGAGGTTGAAACTTTTATATACTAAACAGGGAGACTTGTTTTGACAAGAACAAGATTCCCAGAGGACAAGAAATGCTCTTTTGATAAAATGTAGAACAGGCAACAACAACAAAATTAAATGATGTATAGGTTCCAAAATGCTTTAATTGAAAATGTCTAGTGATTCTAGTCCTCATATTGTGCTAGATGGGTATGTTACAACGCACTTTGAAAAATTACGCACTTTGAAAAAAAATTTCAAAGTGCGTTAATTTTGGGACTACGTTAACGCACTTTGAAAAAAAAATATTTCTTTTCAAAGTGCGTTAATATCGACTATATTAATGCACTTTGAAAAAAAATGTGCACGGCTTGGTCAATATTCTAGCAAATGTTAGGTATGATAATTGAACCTGGTTGAATAACTTTTCGGTGATGACGTCAGGATCTGAGATATAGACGTTTTAAAGATTTTTAGGAGTTGTCTTGTTTCCAAAGGTTCTCATAACTGTTAGAAAAGGGAAATGGGTCTTAGAAATAATGGAGGAATGATTGCTTAATAGCAGCGTTTCGTTTCTTTTTTCTTTTCTTTTTTAAAATTTTATCCAGTCTCTAATTAAATAAGTTCGGTAGATGTAGGTGTCGATAAGTGACTTAAAGCATCACATTTTTCTTAGGGAAAAGGGAGCAATTATGATTTTTCCATACCATGAAAATTCTCTCTCTCTCTCTCTCTCTCTCTCTCTCTCTTTCTCTCTCTCATCTATTTTTCTATCATATTCATCTATCTATCTATTGTGAACATATATGAAACAATGGTTGACTCATTTATTTGATAGTAAGAAAAAAAACCTTAGTCACATTACTCACTCGACTGAAATTTTTACCTCGTTCACTAATAACCTTTTCTCAAAAAAATTATGCAGTCAGATTACTTCTAAATCTGTAATTTGATATCATAAAAACGCTAGACATGTCAAATAATTTTAATACCATGCAAATGCATTTTTTCTGAGGAATCATTGTGGATACATTTTGAATAAAGGTTATGCGGCTCTCTTCTTTAATATAATAGGGTGCGTAATTTTTTTTTCAGGAAAGCTTATCTCAATTTTTTCATCTATTTTACATTAACTCAAATTTATTGAGAGAAAAAATATCAAGTACATACCAGTTATGTAAATACCTATATTTGTGTAGGAAAGATAGAGAGTTTGGCTGAGGGACTTTCTACCTGTTTTCTCCTCGTTCTCGATGAGGGTAGATCAATTCATCAGTTTTTCGGAAGAAATATAAAAAATTAATAGTCTATTATTAGAATCTAAGTCCAGAATTTTTGTTTTATACGTATTTTTTCAAACTGTGTTAAGTGTCTCCATGGTAAAAAAAAATGTTGATGTACACTCTTAACGCACTTTGAGAAAAAAAAATTTCAAAGTGCGTTGATTTTGTCCCAATTTTAACGCACTTTGAGAAATTTTTTCAAGTGCGTAATTTTTCTCAAAGTGCGTTGCCACATGGGTATCATACACAAATTAAAAACATCTAATAGCATATGGCCTATAGCTGCATATCTGTAGCTCACTGGTCTGAAAAATTGGGATGGACAATTTCTCGTTGTGCATTCCAATTTTTCAGATATATAGAATAGAAATATTTAGGGGCCAACCCTTCAAGTCTGTAATAGGGCCCTTTTGCAAAAATTGATTTGTTTGTTTGTCTGTTTAACGCCCCTTCGATAATTTTTCACTCATATTGAGACACACACATTATTAACATAAATATTCTTGCTCCAATGATATATAACAAAATATTACTCGTTAAAAAGTTATAGATTAAAGACTTTTGGCACCTCTGGACCCCTTACTTGAGGAATCAGTCCCTTCTTGATATCGTATATAAAAGAACATTATTTGTTCAATATGTTTTAACAAAATATTTGTAGTTAAGAAGTTATGGTAAGAATGTCTCCAAAATTCAGTCATACATGATTCGTGACCTAAATTTCGATCTCTGTCGTGCTTCCATTCAGGCACTTCCGGTAATTTTGAAAATCCAGGTGCAAGTCTGTTTTTGTTCAAATACAAACATAGTAAAAATTTGATATTTTAAAAATTATCTGAAAAGTTTTATCAAATTGGAATCTTTTCTCTATTAAAGGTCTTGAGACCACATTAAGTAAAGTTCCAGTTTCATTGCACAATAATACTCTCTCAGATGACTGCAAAAAATAAAAATAAAAAAAAAGAACTCAGATTTTCATATTCTTTTTTTTTATTTGATATCACATAGGAAGATTCACACAGATGTTAGATTTGATAAGTATATAGTTCAAAGTGATTGTACTATATACTTTTAAATAACTCAGCAATCCAGAGAGAAACAAGACTCCGTTTTACATAATGTTTACCTGATTCATAGAACTGTGAAGTAGTTATAAGATTTGATAAGCATAAGCTTCCATTGTTATTTCACTATAATATTTTCTAAGAAGGATGCAATAAGAAAGCTACTCAGATTTCAATGTGATTCCTTATATGATTCACTTTGTGAAGCATTAAAGTTTCACCGTGATTTCACTGCAATATTCTCAAAGATAGCTGCAAAAAAGACTCAGGTTTTTTTTTTAATTTGGTTTCAAGTCACATTGTGCATATTTGCATGTTATTATTTATTGGCTGTTCCACTGAAAAGAATTTTTGAAAATTGCTACACATAACTCATAAAAACTCGATGAAACATACATCATTTATTGCAAGTAAATAAAGAATGAAAATTGTTGTTTAAACAAATTAAACACACATTAAACATCAAAGGAAACAGTACAATCCCCCTTCATTGTTTTCTTAAAACTTCCCAGGAAAAGGTACATAAACAATGAATTTTTTTCCAATACAAAATATTATTTTAAGTCTAAATGTGAATGTTAGGAACAGTGCGACATTTAACTCCGGACACGACATAGTCCGGACTTTTTACTACCATTTCTAATTATGTTATCCAAAAAAAATTTATAGTAGTTGGTGGGATTTTTTAGCAGTATCACATGCTCTCATGTTGAACTCACAAAGATCTCTAGTTTAAAAAATATTAAGTCCTAAATATCAGAATCCCATGGGATAATGGTGGGATTTTCAGTCCTAACAACTATCCCACCTTTCTCCCATGGGAGAAAAAGTATCAGATGGGATAATTTCTCCCATTAGGATATTTTCTCCCACAAATTTGTTCAAATGGGATAAATCCCACGGATACTGATCAGTGGGACATTTTCTCCCATTCATTGTCAAACATGGAATAAATCCCATAGATTTTGATATGTGGGACATTTAATCCCATAAATATTCAAATATGGGATAAATCCCACATGTAAGTCATGTCACTGACCGATATTGCATCGTAAGTACAAGTTTATTATCAAATTAATAGATATACATATATAAGACAATGTGATTTCTAGTCCTCATTTAATGTAGGACCAAAAAATTCACAGATATTCACTTACAGATGGCAGGTTAATACATATCTTTTTTAAAACAAAAACTGTTATTGAAGTAGATATAACATCTAGGATGATTTCTTATTGAAATTCATTAAAAAACATCTAAGTTAAACATGCTTTTCCTTACCAGTGCACTAGCTAGTTGTAAAGTAATATAAAATCAACATCCTAATGTTCATGTCTTCCATTACTTTGATATATATTTTAAAATCATGGTTACAGCAAAACAAGACTAGAAGAAACTTGAACTTAATGATCAGGATGTTTATTCATATACCACATTTTCATAATTCATAAATAAATCC